CAGTGTTCTGAACCTGAAGGCGATTTTTGGCTTCGGTTGTGTGTGCCGAAAAGCCGTTGTTGTTCCAGTTCGATGCGTTTGAGCTACAAAATGTCGTGCAGCAGGTCGTCATCATCTTGATGCGTCCGACCCAAGAGCATGATGCAGAATTCGCGCGACCTCAGCTCGAATATAACTTGCTCTCGCGTATCGTTGAAGTTCAGGCTGAGTTCGTGGCAAAGACACACCTTAGAGTGCAAGTAGACGACCGTGCACTCATTACGCTGCTGCACGCACTATAGCATCCTGCGCCACCGTTCTGCAACACAAGTCTGGCTGACAAAGGTCTGACAGAAGCGTGTCTCTAATTCCTCCCTTGACGTAATCTGAGAACTGCTCAAACCGTACCAGTCCTTGGCAGCTCCTAACAATCGCGCCTTGGCTGTTTCCAGGGTGTACGCAGCTGGCCACCCGTGAAGGATAGATGTTCAACGAACATTTTCGATCCACTCGTGCACCGAAGGAGCATCTTCAGGGCTGTTGAAGGGACTATGTGTGGCTCAAGTCGGGAATTACCTGGAACGTTGGCGCTGGTTGAGGTTGCACCGGCACAGTCAGTCGTTCCAGCAGGGTCGATAGTAGACGGTCCTTTTCTTGAATAGCTTGTAGCAGTTCACGAGCTGTGATCTTGTCTCCATGGTTGGAGTCCGCGTCTCCACCACCAATCGGGTTGACTCGTTCGTCAGTGCGTTCCATTAGGCTTACGTTTACAGGCTTCGCAGACCGAACCAACTCATTTTCTCACCATGGCGATTGGATGGCAATCCCACTTCTGAAATGTTATCTTCGACCTCGTAAGAAAAAGAAATAGTTTACTCACACATAATAAACACACGCCACACAGGCCATACACTGCATGCGTGTCTCTCCAAACGTTGTCCTGTTCCTTCATTAGCTGCCTAAGGCCACGTGCATTTCCAACATTACTTTTGCAACAATACATGTTGATGGAGGAAGCAAGAACAAAAACAAAACAGTGGGTGAGGTTTAACTCTTCTGAACCTAGCTGTCCTGAGCGAAAGGTGACCTTGGCTTGGTTTTGCAAAGACTAGGTATGCACACAGTGTTTCAGTAAACCTTTTTTCTTGTTGTTTCTGTTGCTCAATGATGGCAGTGGCCCCAGCAGTTTCGATTTTGGTATACTTCAGCTTATGCTCACTGTGTTTCATTAAACTTCATCTCCTTGTTGTTGTTGTTTCTCTAGCTGAACGACTGCAGTGGTTCCAGCAGTTTCGACCTTGGCATACTTCAGTCTACACACACAGTGTTTCATTAAACTTCTTGTTTCTTTTGCTGAACAAAAGCAGTCGATCCAGCAGCTTTGATTTTGATGTACTTCAGTCTATGCACAAAGTAAACTTCTTCTCCTTGTTGTTTCCCTTGCTGAACGACTGCGGTGGCTCCAGCAGTTTCAACCTTGGCATACTTCAGTCTACACACACAGTGTTTCATTAAACTTCTCCTCGTTTCTATTGTTGAACGACTGTGGTGGCTCCAGTAGTTTTAATTTTGGTATCCAGCAAAACGTTGATACGTTCCCGCTTAATACGATTTTTCAGCTCCTACACTCACAATCGCAAAAACTAGAAATGCCCTCATAGAGCTATGTGTTACTACGTTCCGCCTAATATGTTCCCGGAAAATACGATTATTCGGCAGCAACGTTTGGTATTGCGGCAAACTGCGGCCATGATATCTTCTGCGGGCAAAATTCTCATTCAGGTGTGCAAACAAATCGCATTCGCGTGCTTGTGAAGCGCCAAGTGGCAGATTACCGCCGCACAGCGACGGCGGTTTCTTTGCTGCGCTAAATTGTCATTCCCCTCCATCCCCCGCCGCATCTTATCCGATTTATACTTAATCGTCTCCTCCGTGCTTCTTGAAAGGCCAGGTCGCCCTCTCCATCAGTGCCCCAGCTCTCTGTGAACCACATACAGACCCATCTGAGCCGTCGAAGTCTTCAACGGTTTTCAAAAAATGCTTTTTGTTTTCAGTAGCACAGTGGCTTTCTTTCTCTGCTGGCACCTTGGCATGATTTCACTCATCACTGCAAAGCCTTCATCCGTAGCACGGTGCATGAAAATGCAATTGTCCCACACTACAACAGCCGAGAACACTACGGAGCTAACAATGCGGAACAAAGTATGGATGCTCTGTCGCTCACCTTAAATTCTCCACGCTTCGGCTCGGCACGAGACGCACGTGCTTCCTCCCTAACACAACGTTCCGCACAGTGGTAGCAATGCTTTAAATCACTTGATTTCTCACTTTTGCTACATCTGCCTATTTTCCCGACACCATCTCACACTCAGCTGGAGTCTGCCACCATGTTCTTCTTTTAGAAGATTAACCAACGCACCACCTTTCAGCTAGAAAGATGCCAACGCGACGTGCCTATCTCCCCCGGCTAATCCTCCAGTCATTAGCGGGGGATGCATGCCTTGCTGTGTTATCAGGGTGTCTGCAACTCTGCAGAGTAACCTCCAAAGGAAACGAGCACCGCCCAATGAGAGTCGTTGTCGGGGCCTAAGTGATTGTCGCTACTTTAAGGAGATAAAAAAACAAATTTATAGACATGCAAGTCAGGCCCTGTGCGAGGCTGCACCTTACTCAGTAGTTCATGATTTCAAACAGTTGCGTTAAGCATGGCGTCGGGGAAGTGCAAGCCCTTGTCGATTCAGGAGAAGCTGAATATCCTTCGGTGGCAGCTTGCATCACAAGATACGGAGCGCGGCAAAGACAACACTGTGGCATGCATACTCGACATTGATGACGACATCGATGAGGAGTTCCGATGCACCCTTCGCTGAGTTTATCTCGATAGACGACAATGTCCTGACTTGCGAGCGGCAAAGTGTCACCGAGATTGTCGCGGAGGTGGTGGGGGACAACGCAGCGAAGGAGGTGAGGGATGAGACACCGGAAGACAGAGGTGAGAAAGAAAGCATGCACCAACTAGCTAACTTTGCTGAAGCCCTTCCTGGACTGGAAGCTTTATGAAGTTTCTTTTGAAGAAAAAACAATGAAAATGCGGACAAGGGTCTACAATGTGTGCAGAAAGAGCTTTTATTGTCCAAGGGTGAGAGAAAGCAGCATAAGAAATAAATCTTTTAAGAAAAAATGTTTTAAGAAAAAATGTCTTTTAAGAAATAAATGTTTTTTTGCCCTTACACATCTATGTGGACTTGTCAGCGCCAATTAGTGCTGGATTCGAATCGCAAATTTTCCTGGATCACACATTAAAGGGACCCTGCAACACTTTTTGAGCATGCTCAGAAAATACTGCCGATCGGTAGTAGAAGCTTCCGACAACACGCGAGCCAAATATTATAGCACAGCATGCAGCCTGGAATTCACAATAAATTATCAAAGTCAGCTGAAAATTGCCTTCTCTTCTGTCGACAAGTGATGGAAGATGCTCAAAAATCACGTGTAGCGACCCATCGATCAACCATTGGCTGATTTGAACATGGCACGCTCGGTTGTAACAGAGATCGCCGAGGGAGGCCGCAACATATCCACATGTGCACGCGTGATGACACTCTGAAAAAGCCGTGCATTCAAAGAAAAAGAAAGAAGAAAAAAGTGCTCCAGGTCACGAGGCACGCATGACGTATATCTTTGCCCCTTTCATCTTTCTCTGCTTAGCTTCCAGCACTTCGGTCGGGACGAAAGAAGAGAGAATGCGTTGGCAGCATGCGACAAATCTTCGTAACTCCACTCGTATAAGACTAATTCATAAAATTTTTGCGGCGTTGAATTCATAAGGCAATAAGCTCTTCCAGTGAATTCATTCCATAGTTACTTGAAAAAGTGTTTCAGGGACCCTTTAATCTTCTGAAAGGTGAAAGACAGCACCAGAAAATTACTTCTTTTGAAGAAATAAATGTTTTTGTGCCCTTACACTTCTATATATACTTGTCAGCCTGAATTTTGCTGGATTCAGATCATACATTTTCCTGGATTGCACATAATCTTCCACATTTTTTTCGAAATATATCAACCAGGTTCTATGGAACTTCAGTCTCTGCACACACTGTTCCACTAAACCTCTTCTTGTTGTTGTTTCTACTGCTGAATGATGGCAGTGGCTCCAGCAGTTTCGATCTTGGCACACATCAGTGCTTCGTAAGCTAATAGTATAAAATGTGCTAATCTAGTCTGCCTTAGCTCCACTGTTTAGGCAGGCAACATTGCTTGTTCTAAAGAATTTTGCACTTTGTCATCTAGATATATGTACTCAATAAACGGACTCGGCCAGTTGCTTGCACTGAAGCACACACATAGACAGCCTAGCTGGCAGGACTAAATGATTCCATGGCGAGATCGAGTGATGGAGTGCCAGCGCATGTTCACCTGCCCGTGTGGTACCACAGCAGTGAGGCTCCTAGAGAGCACAGCTGTGACGCCTCTTCGCAGTGAAAAAGTGCAGCGAAAAGAAAAAAAAAAGCAGCATGTAGATAACACACAATCTTATGCAGAGCAAATTGTTCAGTAATTAGGTAGAATCTTTCGAAAAGCATTAAGAACACTAATGCAGCTTGAGCACTACAAATAAACAGTGAGAGTGCATATGCTAAATTTACATTACACAGTGTCACCCAGTTACTGACATGGCATCATCTTTTTGACTTCTATCTCTGCAAAAATGCCACAATGGTGGCATTAATCACAGTGGGAATCAATGAAGACATACTTCCCTAAGAATTGGCAGTTCTGATTTTGCTTCTGAATTGCTAGAGAAAATATTGTGTGATAGCATCAATTGACACCACCAGGGCTGAGAGGGTTAAAAAGCATGCACCACCTACTCTTTTGTCAACACATATCTTTCATTGAATTCTTCCCTAACAGCTCAAGTACGCATACATATGCTGTGAGCAGTTCTTCAATGATGTGAAGTAGTCTAAAGAACAAAGGCATCACTGTTTTCATGTTTGCCAAGTCTAGCAAATGCTCACCGGAAGAAACTCGTCAAGATCCAGGCCTGCTGGAGTGTCCCTCTGTGAAGGAACAAAATCCACTGACTGCTTCTGTTCAGGGTGAACAACCGCTTTCTGAGGTGGCGCCAGGGCTTCCTTGCTGTCAGGCAGCACACTCATGACAGGGCGCACTATAGAGACTGTCGAACTGCTTTCCACTACCTGCAATAGCAAATGAGTTTTGGAACACCTTGATGAAAGAAAACGAGCAATCAGGGTAGTGACTAGCAGTGCTGAGCCCATTTTTCACTAAATAACATAATCGCAAAGTGTAGTGTGCACACCCATGGACACAACTTGTTTTTTGCCAATTTTGTTTATCTGGCTACGGTGCTCTAGATGTAATAAATATAAACTATAACCTCATTACAACTAAGTCACATATGGTATGAAAATCTGGCACGAAAACAACTATGTCATATTTAAAAATTCATTAAAAATATATATTGTAACACTAGATCCATGAGCAGACTATTCTTCATTTGTTTCGTTATAACCAATAATTTGAATATCCACGTTCATTATATCGAGGCTGAGATTGATTGATTGATATGTGGGGTTTAACGTCCCAAAACCACCATATGATTATGAAAGACGCCATAGTGGAGGGCTCCGGAAATTTCGACCACCTGGGGTTCTTTAACGTGCACCATAATCTGAGCACACGCGCCTACAACATTTCCGCCTCCATTGGAAATGTAGCCGCCACAGCTGGGATTTGATCCCGTGACCTACGGGTCAGCAGCCGAGTACCTTAGCGACTAGACCACCGCGGCAGGGCTATCGAGGCTGAGGAAATAGCATCTTTGCCTTTCACACATGAAGGGTTGTCGGCATTTACATAATACAATTTGGCCCCCGCATTGCCTCATTCTTGATAAGACAACTTCGAAATACCATGCCGCCAGCACTTCATCAACCTAGCGAAAAGAAACACTTGCATACTGCTATACCTCGTAATAAGCATAGGAATCCTCTCCAACTTTTTTTTTTCCCGCAATTTCACTTCAAACTATATTCAAAATGTTTTCTGGAAATATTTTAGAATTATTTGAAAAATATTCTATTCAATTTACATTCATGCTTCAATATTCGAATTACCTTTGCACCCAAAGTTTTGATATTCACACAGCTATAAAAAATACACCTTAAAATCCATGACTTCATGTGAAAAAGGTATAGACGTGAAAGTTCAAAATGGAACTTTGACCTTTGCAGAAGCACGAGAATATCAGAAAATTTTGAGTAACGAATTGAACAGTGTTCTATATGATTTGATGTTCAAAACATTATTCGATTCAGTACTTGAATCGCATAGTGCTGATTCAAAATACTGAACATTTTTTCAACAGTTTTCAAACAATAAGCATGATGAAAAATGAACGAAGGAACAAGACTTTGGAACAACGAGGGGTAACTTGTCTTGTGTTCATCGTCTAATTACCCAGATCCATGCAGCCCATGTACTTACGGCGCTATTGACACCATATGGGTTGCAGGATGAAGGCACTTTTTTGCTTAAAATTAAAACTTCATTGTGGCCAAAGCGACCGTGTGACCGTGTCGGCCATACACCATCTTCACTGAGACATTCATGATAAAGATAACCCATAAAAAACCTAATATTTATGTATCCGTTTCATTTAAAAAGATGATGATAAACTACCACTTTAAATGTTGTAGTGACTACTACATTTCAACCTGCAGTTGCAAAATATTTTGAAAGCTCTATTTGTAGCTCGGTTTAAATAATTGTGGTAATTTCTGTTGGTTTAAAGCTTGTGGATATTTGATTTAAATGAAATGTGAAATTTTTGGGCCGTTTTAAAAATTGTTGCCTAACCATTACAAAACAATTCAAATAATAGTAGATTAATATTCGTGTTGAATTCAGTGTTATCACTATTCAATTTCTAAAATTTCCTATTTGCACACCTTTAGACCTTGATTTTTTCTTCCATTAACTCTTTCACCACCACGCCTATTCAAATTGTTCACCGAACATCGACACTTTGGATCATCGATTTCGGCATGTTTAATACATTTCTCGTGCACCCAACACTCTCTAGTAATTAGTCCAGCCACTTAACTTTCAGAATCAATTTGAACTTGTGTGTGTGTGTTGTGGGGAAAATGCACTTGGCTGGCGAACTTGACAGAAGTCCATGTCCGTTGCGGTTATGCTACAGTAACATCAAAGTTCTGTAATCAACAGAACCTTTGCAAGTCAATTATCAAATTATGGAGTCAGCTTTGCAATCTGACAATGTTAAACAGTAATAATAGCCAGAAATTTATGCCAGCTATTCAATAGAGAGCTGTTAGGAGCCAGGGAAAATTTATTGCACAAAAAATGTTTCCGAAGGTCTGCCGCATGTATAAAGTGTCAGTCAGTTTCAGTTCTCAGTCAGTTTCCTGCAGCTTTGGTTTCACTTGTATTGTTATATCAGACATAGGGCCGACTCTATTGTCACTTGTCGCTCCTATGGTGGCGGCGTCACGCACGCATGGGTGTGCACCTGCGCTGCAAAAAACATGCGGCGCTCAAAACTGTTTAGCAACCGCACCTGAACTAAGTGAAGATGAGGTTTTCATAATCGGAACTCCAGGTGCATGTTTGATGGCGACGATGCCTTGCGTCAGCCTGAGACATCCGCAGCCGTTCATGGGTTTTTTTTTGTTTACGGCCTCAAGTTGTCTTTTCCACCTTAAGTGTATAGCTGCTGACGTTTGTGCACAATCTTACAGCTACTCTGGTCATGCGCAAGGTACACACATTGCTGGGGTGTGATGTGCTGGCGCCGGCTGCAGAGCTTTTGCTCATAAGAAGGCCACCGGAGAACATCTTGGCCCTGACTACGAAGCAGCACGAAACGTTTTAGAACTGCGTGCAATATTGTTTTTTTTACATGATGTGCAAAAATGCAAAGAAATATGCTTGCATGAATACATTGGGACGCCAACCTATGCGGACTGAGATGGCTCATGAAGAGAGGCGACGCTAGACGAAATAGTGAAGTTCATAGGTCATCTGATTTATAGAGAGATTATTCTCATCACGGGCATACATTTTATATTAGAACACCTTGAGGCTCTTATCGCAGAAAAAAAAAACACGAAAATTTATTGAGAAAAGTGTACGAGTTCACTTGTGTCATACGAAAAACCATGAAATGCTTCACCGCATGGCATGAGCAATGAAGCAGCACCTTGGTTTCGATTTTTTGTCTATGTGAATAGAAACATTTCCTACAACATTTATTATTTTTATACTGTTTCTGGGTAATTTATCTTCAAAATGTACATTTTATATTCCTTTGTTTTCAATATTTTTGCATACATAGTGTTTTTACTGCACTGTTTACCAGCTGGCTACCAAAAATTACTTACAAACTTTTCACATTTTTATTCATGTCAAAATATTTTTGTTGCTCTACAACGTATATTTTTTGGAAAAAGCATTTCATTGCACAAAATTTAGAATGTTGCAATGTGTGCCGGAATACTTTTCAAATTGGCAAAAACTATACCCCAGAGACATTGAAAAATAGCCATTTAAACACAGTAACGAAAGAGTTAATACACTTATGAAAGTGAAATTACTGTTTTCGAAGAATAATTCATCAATCTAAACTGATTCACTTATTCAATTCAGTGTCCCCATAAGGCATGAGCACTTTATCATTAAATTCTGCAGTAATGGAAAGGACCAGCACAGCCACAAAGAAAATGAATAAGAAATGGGAGAAAAAGAGCAAGACAAAAAGTACTAGTTTCAGACATCTAGCATCTTCTGAGAGTTTCCACTAAACATTCTTACCTTGCCTTATAACCCCTGAAAACTGCAAACCTCCACTGAAATAATCATGCAGATCAGCAGACATGACTTACATGACACATTAGCAGACATTATTTACATGACAAATTATAGATATCTTACACTGATATAATTCATTTGTAGCTACTTTGCCCACACCTATGATAGATTTTCTTCCCTATGAATGCTGCCTTCATGAGCGGAAACAAGCAAAGCCTTCAGCAGCTAAGGGTGTTATGTGCTTCTAGTTAACTACATGATTAAATCACCCTTGTTTCTGTCGAGAATTTTCATTCGCACTTCTCACAGTAATTTTGATTCAATTTGAACTACACAGTTCACATTAAGTAAAGTAGGGAATTGGGCTAGTTGGAACATACTCATCAGTGTTTCATTGTTAAACACTGCTTGTGTCATGCACTTTCTTGTGTTTTTTTGTCCTTTTTATGCACTGATCGTGATGAGACAGTTCATATTACAAAGTTTGTTTTTATAACTGCAACGAAGAAAGTTGCTGAACTATTGCCAAGACTCCTAGCAAGCATGTTACGAAGCATTTAAAAAAGCAGCCACTCTTGGTCATACCATGATTTAGCACAGCATAGCAGCCCTAAATAAAACAAGGGTGTTCAAGGGTAAAAAGTAGCTTACTTGTGATGACGACGTGCGCACCATGGCAGTGGCCTTCTCAATCGGCTTCCCTAAGCTGGTTGCAACGACCGAGATAGGGCCCGTCGGCATGGCAGCACGAGTGGTTACTTTGCTTGGGAGAACACTTGCTGGTACAGGTATGTTGCTGGGCACTACTCCAACGGAGCTGTAGCTGCGAAATTTCAGAAAACACACCTTGAAGACAAACACTAGGTTAAATAAATCTGAAGAAATTCCTCACACGCAAGTTATGAGACTGGCCTATAAAAGTGCCGGGAAAGTTCTTAGACATCAGCGATCATACTGCTGCTCAATATTTATCATATTGTGTGCATACGTATGAGTAATCAAGAGATTAAATATGTTGACTGCACGACACCAGGTAGCCCCTTCCCAAACATAGCACATAAAGAATGTGCTGAATGTTGCTTTTGCCGACACAAGACAACACAAGTAGCTTGTCTACAACTCTTCTATAACAACCACCATAACCCTTACATCGAGATATTCCCACAACATATTGTAACCTATTTTCATGCCGAACAAAAATATTAATTTTTTTCATAACTAAATAGCAACAACTTGAGAATATTGTCATAGACATACAAAAGCAAACCTGCCAAAAGAAAACTGGCCTGCATTTTTTTAAATAGTTTTTCACGGCTGCAGAAAATTCACAAACAGTGATGCACGAGGGCTAGAAAAGTTCTTAGACATCAACGATCTTATTGATTGATTGATTTGTGGGGTTTAACGTCCCAAAACCACCATTTGATTATGAGAGACGCCGTAGTGGAGGGCTCCGGAAATTTTGACCACCTGGGGTTCTTTAACGTGCACCCAAATTTGAGTACACGGGCCTACAACATTTCCGCCTCCATCGGAAATGCAGCCGCCGCAGCCGGGAATCGAACCCGCGACCTGCGGGTCAGCAGCCGAGTATATTAGCCACTAGACCACCGCGGCGGGGCATCAATCAACGATCTTATTGATGCTCATTATTTATCATATGGTGTGTGCACGGATGAGTAATTAAGAGATGAAATATGCTGTGCTGTATGACACCAGGTAGCTCTTTCTCAAACTTTGCACGCTTTTCCGCAAGACACCATATACTGAAGTGAGAGGGACTCAAGTGTACCTCTATTTTATTACTTTTTTTCACAGTGGGGTTAGGGGTGTGTTTTGGGAGAACTATAGCCATGCCCATACTATCAAGAGCAGTTCTCAAAAGTTAGGAGTCCCCTAGGCAAATTGGGAGCGATGGCAGGCATGCAAAGAAACACAGTGAAGTTATTTCATTGGTGCATCAAAAAACAAAGCATCTGGAAAACGCCACAATAACAAACAATTCCCATAGAAAACTAGCACCACTTAGCTCTCGGCTAGTATTTTTTTTAACCTGGCACCAAATTTAGAAACTCGAGATGTTTGTGTTGTTTGAGAGTCATGCATGGGGGCACTTATAACAGATTGTTATTGAAGAAGATTGCTTACAAGATATCTTAATTTGGTTTCAAAACAGGGGTACATGCTCACCCAAGTATTCAGGTCCAATTGATATTTTCTGTGGTTTGACGTAAACAGGGGCACCCACCAGATGCCAAGCAAGTATTGTCAACGCCCGATAACATTTACGGGGTGCACAGAATACCCTGACTGGCTCCGAGCGAGGACTATTTTTCGTCACCCCACTAGCTCTTTTGACGGGCTGCTTTTTCTGCTTACACAAGGTGCTTTTTCTGCTTACACAAGGAATGCTTTTCTTTTTTCTGAGGGGGACATGCTCAAAGCACCCACATTGTCTCATTCTTCACTGCCCGCGAGTCTCCCTATTTTAAAACATCTTGTTCAGAGTCATCGAAGCTTGAGTGCACGTAGTCTTTGGCGCTCCGCTGTAAGGCACTAGTTTCTTATGATCTTTAGCTGGATGCTCGGCCTGTAAATTGTGGCTGAATAAAAGTCTATTACTACTACCAGTAGGTGGGTGCTTCAAACTGATGAAAGATGACTGAATTATCAATGCTATCATGAATTATATGATGCGTTAAAGCATTTATAATTCAATTTTGGCATTACAAGATGCAAAGCTAAAAATTATAGTAAAAAAGTCACAAACGAACGTTTCACTGTCAGGGGTCCTTTATCACCATGCCCTAGTTACAGCTAAATGAGTTATGAGAACACCAGCAATGTAGAGATAATTACACAGCAGAAAGTGCAAACATTGCAGGAAACACATTCTTACAAAAACATACACTGTACATGTACACAAGTGCTAACCCTGGTATGGCTGCCATGATACTGGGTGTTGGTGGCTCTGGTGCTAGCAGGGCCCCTGAACCAACCAATGAGCCCCTGGGTCGTATCGTGAAGGTTGTGCCCATAGCCGAGTAGCTGGTGGTGACACTCAGCTGCCGCGTCTCTTTCACTGTGGCTCCAGCTCGTTCCGTGAGAACACACGGATTTGAGGCACCACTCAACCGCACCACCTTGCTGCTCTGTGGCTCCAAGGCTGGCTTGTACGAGTCTAAAGAATGCAGAAAACGTCACCGCATCTTGTTTAACACTATTTTCAACTTTATCCAATAGAGACCCATTACATATCCGTGAACCCGAGATAGGTGAAGAGTAATCATCACATGCCTTCAAGTCACTGCAGTCGATCATAAAGTACAGTTGATTAACTTAACACTAAATTACCCTTGCTGCATTAAGTAAGAAAATAGCTGTAAGTAAAAAAAAAATGAAATGCAGACACAAATGACAAAAATTAACTCCTTAAGTGCTCAATTTTTTTTTTGGTTTTCCGACCAAAAGTGCCTATGTTTTGTTTTTTTTTTTTATTGCCGATTTCGAATCTCGTACTACTAAAAGGAAGTTAGCCAATGTTGAAAAAATACTTATATCACATACTTAGCCAAATCAACACAATAAAGTTTACCTCTGAACAATGCATAAGAAACCAGCAACCTACTGCTAATAAAAATATAAACCTTATAAAGAAAACAGGTGCAGGCACCACATTTTTCTCCACTTGTGTAGGCTAAGCCCCTTAGGGCTATTTCACTCTGGAAGCTTCGAGACTGTGTGGAAAATTTGAAAACACGAAATAATGCGAAACGACTTCACTGGTGACCATTCACTATGTTCCCTTCCGAGCTGTCTACATCATCACCGGAGGAGCTGCTCAATTCACAGTCATCGCCGTCTTCACTTCCAGACACAAGATAAATATCTATATTCGAATCATCAAGACTCAAGATGACAAAGAACACTGAAAGCTTCTTTTTCATGTTGGCGAGCCAGCTATGCATAGGTCGCTGCCACCACAGGCCATCTTTTTATACCAAAACCGTGCCCCTGCCGCAAAGAAAAAACTATATTGTCGAGTAAATGCTGCCATCTAGAGGAGAACACGCAATCTAAGCCATAGACGAGCGCTTATCGTCCTGAACACTATGGGGAAGTGTCTATACCACTAGGAGGAGCTCTGCTTGTCCAAAGCAGAGCTCTTAGGAGGTTAATTGACGAAACTTCATATGTTCATCTGTATGCCATGATCAAATGATGACTATGAAATAAAGCAGAAATATCATTACAATGCTGTACATGCAACAGCAAGTGCAAAATTTGCTTCTAGCATGCCTTACAGAGATGACATGTTTCAACAGTAGACATGATGCTTAGTAAACTGTAGAGCTGTGTTTTTCAGATATTTAGCTGTAATAGAACTATCTGCATGCTTAGAAGTCAATTGGATGTGCCCCTCAGGGATAACTGCATATTACAATCTATCAATAGCCTACAATCGATGCTTTGAATTGCTGCTTTCAAGACATTCAGTGGCATTCATGGACGAACTGTACCATCTCTCATGAAGGAAAACTATAGTTTTCTGCTCAATGTAGTTTTGCTTTTCTTCTATGTGGCCTTGATTTTCGTATGCACTCGGAAACTGTGCAATTGTCCAAGGGGAGAGCAAACATAACTGCCACCAGATGTGGCACGTATGTGCACTTCGAAACATTGCAGATATTGACATTCCAGTGTTTTCAGCTGATCTTATCAATTTACTGAACAGCATATAGTCTGAGGATGCTGCTTTTTCACCGGACTTTGATTCTGAGAGCAACTTTGAAAATTAGCAAGCAGGGGCATTATGATGAATTTACCAGTGCACTTAGCTACAGTATGCAAAAGGGATTGCACTGACAATACGGCAAGCTATGCCCGTGATGTTATCTGTTGTGAGTCTTCATCTTCAGTGTTTTGAAGATGAAAAAGTTGCACATAGAAGAACCTTTACTAAAATATCACTGAAGTACATTTCTTTCATGCAGTTAACACATTTTATCACCAAGGTTGTTATTTAACAGTGATGTATTTATTAATGGTAAAGATTCCTCACACATTTTGAGTTTGTCTAGTGATAATAACAATGGTCCACCCAAATTACTAAAGTGACAAGCCATGAGCGGTGGATAATTAGAGTAGCATAGAATTGAGCAAAATACTGGCCCAGTATTATAAAAAATGATACAAAGATGCATGGCAGTACACACACAAAAAAATTTCTTCTGGTTTTAGTGATGGGTAATATCAACTGAAAGCAAGCTTTTTTTTGTTTCTTGACATAGCTGTCAACATTGCACTGTATGTGCACAAAGTCATATTTTTAAAGAGAAGCTGAAGTCATTTCAGAATTCAATAAAACTTCGTGGTTCACAAGGACCAATATTATTGCAGACGATGTAATTTTTTCCACAATTTTTGCAGCAGGAGCTTTAGAACATGCAAAAGAAGAGTCTACCTACACAAACAAGCTGAAAGTGTGGGTGTGGAAATGAATAACAGAGACAAGTCATCTTCGGTTTCATAGGCGGAGCTGCACTTCACTATGATGAAAGGCTCTTGCCACTCACTGATCCAAACTAACTTTGAGAGCACTGTCTATGTACCAGAAGTTCATATGAGAATAGACAAATTCCACCGGACTTGCGTCATGAAAATGTGGTGGCGCTGTCTTGGTAGGCACAAGACGCTCTGCCTACCGCAGTTTCTGCTGGGTTTTCAATGGTGCATTGGGTGTTCTCACTCAAGAAACGAGAAAAAAAAAAACGGTATGCCGACGAGCTGCATTGCCGTTGGATGAGTGTTGTGTCTCGCAACTTAGTTTTGTTGATTGGCGCACATCGCAGCCTTCAGCGCTTATGGCTTTCACAACCTTTATGGCGTCTCACAACGTCGTTTTGTTGGTGCACATTACAGCCCTCAGCGCTTATGACGGAAGTTACGTGAGGACGTTGCTATAATTTTACCAATAATGTCAACATCGGCCTACCTATGTATACAAACATGGAATGGGTCTATAGGCACAATGAAAATTGTGCAGTTGGATTATGATACCTGACATAACGACAAACAGCTGAGCACAATATGAACAAGCATCTCTTGTATCTCCTTTTTTAGCCTACATGACTAGTTCCAGCTGCATGCTGTTGACTGGGCTAACTGCGGAGACCACATTTCAGCAGCGCTGCTCTCGCCGACGACACGGCATGGTGAAAATGACATCACCGTATTTGCTCAGTGTCTCAAGGTGCCCTGCGGTTGCTGCTACTCTTCTATGCCAAAAAATGTTATTTACATTTTTTTTAGAATATAGGCGGGAACAAACTGAAATTATACTTTCCAAAGTTGTTGTTTTTTAATGCTTCAGCTTCCTTTTAACTAAACAACAATATGACTAGAAAATTAAACTTAATTATTTGTAGTTACACCTAATATACCCAAAGCCAACCAACTAGAAACTACTCCTCTGAAAACTTACTGCAGAAAATTTATTCTCACTTTGGCGTTAATATTAAGTCGACAAAACAAACAAAGCCAGCATGGAGCTGCTTGCAACATTTATTATTTATTTCAGAAAAAAGGAATTGACAAAAACGCACATATTTGTGGACTAAACACATGCAGACAGCACAGCTGATGTAAGTGAAAAAATATTGTGACAACAAAATAAGCAGGCTTTCATTGCTCATAAGCGTGGTTATACACCATCTTTTTTCGAAATCAAAGCGACTTTTTTTTACCATGTTAATGAAAATCCTGACCATAACACCAGCACAAGAAGTGTCTGCATCACTAAAAGAGAGTTAATGCGAGCCAGTTGGTATGTATTCATAGTTAGAAACAAAAACAAGGCCAGCGCTGGTCTTGGCTGAATTATTGTCAGTGTTTACTTCGCACTGTTCTTACCTATGGCCTATATCTCACTTTTATTCGTGAATGCTTCCCTATAAAAATTTTCCCATTTAGTGTAAATGAAAGCAGCCAAACACAGAGCTCAAGCTAAACATTAGTGTGAACAGCTTTGGATACATCTACCTAATTACTAAAACTGACAATACATGAGTAGAAAATATTTTAATAAACCAGACATAAGCCCAATGTTTTCCTCATTAAAGCTTAACTGTAAAATGAATGTGAGAAATGACCTGGACAACATAAACAGAGTGATGAAGACAAAATACCAAAAAAACAGTGGAAGATGTCGAGAACTAAAACTGACGGGACATGCACAAGCTATCACCTGAAATTCAATCACAGAAAATGTTGCCTTTTTAAGCACACTCGGCAGCAGCACTGAAATTATTATTCAGGAAAACAAAACCAAGATGAAAGAGCATAACTTAAGGATTGTTTACTAATCCCACAAAGTGCTATGCAAATAAAAATAAAAGAGGCTTGAGCACAGGGGCTTTGGAAGCTGTGAAGGGATGTGGTGCTTGAGCCCCGCCCATAACACTTGAGAATGAAGGGGTTTTTAGCTACTTCTTTCTCCAACTTACAGCCTCCATTATTCTTATGCCGGAAAGACATAGTATCTATGCCAACTGCCTAACTGCTGCACTGAGGAACATTGCATACTTATACTGGAAGCACAGCAAGAGTTCTTATTTGTACACTTCCCATGCTGAACATTCATTTATTCTATCTCATTTACTGTGAACACAGAGCTATTATGTTTAAATAATCTATAACTCTAAATATCCCACAGCCTAAAGGAATTAAATTTTGTTCCTGAATCAATGTTCCATGTTTTTCTTCACAATCATCTAAATCACACTAAGTAGGACCCCCCTCACATCCTCTCCCGTCTCAATCATTCTGTTGACCACAGGATACCATGCATAAAATAATGTCAGACATGCCTGCCAGCCAACTCCACCCATCCTTCCAAGTCATGCAATGTTGTGCCCTACCCTCCTCTACCAGACGACACTCCCGAGAAACAAAAAAGCTTCTGGTACCCACAGACTGGTAACGATGAGTTTTTATTTCTGCTAAACTACTGTTTTAACCTGTTATGTTTTACTTCCTGTTACTTCGAGCTATAGTAGCCCATTTTCAATGACAGCCGATTAGATATGAACTTGCGTGCTAGAAGTAAGCAAACCAACCCATACCTCGTAAAATGTTTTCAGCTCAACCTTGCCTCCTCCTGTTCGAACACATCCAAAGCCTCTGCCCCAACAAAGAATAAATGCTGATGCAGCTGTCACATGGTATGATAAGCCCCAATGCGCTCCCATGATATCTCGTCATTAGCTGCTTCTATGAATTGTGTCTGATGGAACATTATATGGCAGTAACATTTTTTATGATATGTGGTCGTTTGTTCTCAACTGTTAATATTTAGCTGGTGTGTCTTAAGCAAGCTTAAGAGAGAATGTTTTGTATCAATGAACTTCAGTTTGTAGGTCGCATGTCCTGTCAGTTTGAGCTTTCATATTTACTGTTTGTAATTTCATGTGAATGACAAACAGGCTCAAATCCAGATGCTGCAAGACCAGAGAAATGAATATGGGTGATGCATACCCTCAAGGGGCGCAGGGAACGGATTGTCCTTGGGTGGAGTGCGTGACACTAAAGTGAAAAAGAAATAAGGAAATACCTCAGTGCACAAGTGACCATGATAAATTTCTACATAAAAAAAAAGCGATCACTTGCAAACTAAAGAAGCTCATTTGAGTACATGCTGGCCAAAGCATATTTCATGGGTGCTATCACAAAGGCAGCAATTGAAAAAGGCTTTCAAGGTGCATTCATTACACTAATTAAAGTTCATAGTAACAAAAGATATTTAACTCATTGTCAAGACTTCTTCATTCTGCACAGTTTTTATATTTTCTCTACTCCATCATACCAGAATGTAACCTACAACATTGAGGAACAGACACTTTACTAATGGAGGAACTTTTAAAAAATGATTATTTTGGTAGGTTAGCTTTAACTCAAAGTGATGTCATTAATATGCAACATTGCACACACTACAGAACAAACTACTACAACACAAAACACACGACATGCACTCATGCAAAACGAACAAAAAAATAAAATGAATACATATGCACAGGCTTACTATCATGCACATCTACATGCACACAATGGTGCAAGTGGGGGAAAGGAACATAAATTGGGGTCCAGATTTCTGCCCTACAAATTTTTATGCAGGCATATGCATAAATTTCTTGCATATACCTTTTGTACCAGTTTTCGTACTATTGAATCTAGGTGACACACTAAAAAAGTAACTGTCACCACCCATAAAAAAGAAAATCCTGGTAACATGTCCGCTGTCTCCCTATCAACAAGACTAGTGAAAAAAAATAGTTGTAAGCATATGTAAATGAGATCCCACTAGAGCACGGCACTAACTTACTATTCAAAACGACAACAATTGAACCTCGAACGTTTGTTCCACTTTTCAAATCTTTCTATCATACAGTTTTCAGTTTTTTTTTTTTTTTAACTTGAATCTGGTAGGCCATAAGAATTTCCTGTCTGGCATGTATAAAATGTTTCGTATCCCTTAAGATCTTGATATAATCATGTTTTGTAACTCAAGTTTCTCAACTGCATAAGTGCATGCTCCAAAAAAGAAAGGGAAAAAAATAACACATAAATAAAGACAAAATACACTTACATGTACAACGAAAGATAAATATTTAGATAACACACTGTTTGTGAACAGTTCTATGTCTTCTTGCCACTTTTTTATGTGTAGCTCTTTTATGCCAAGGATGAAACTATACAAAAATCCTGCCACTTTGAACTGAAATTATTCTTTTCTACTCGATTTTCCCCCCTTCCACTTTGGTAGCTAGTTCAAACATTAAAGCCTGCCTTTCTTCTCTTTCCAGGGAACTCATTGCACTATTTTTATCACGCATATGAACTAATAAGCAAGCCTTACTTTTTCTGCATTTACTGCATTATCGAAGCGCCTCGAATATTCATGAAATGCTCTAACATTAATTTGCATAGTATAAGGGTGAAAGTGGAAGTGTTTTGGAGCAGCTCAGGGAGTAGGAATAATGCTGTTTGGGAGCAACTTTGGCACAGTAAAAGGGGAGTTTTGTAGCTAGTTCAAAGCACCAAAAGGTGTGTTTAGAGTAATGCAAGTTAGTTTTGAAGCAGCTTTCTAGAGTCAAATATCATCGTCAATTAATTACATTTCTGGGGGGGAAAATCCAATTTTGTTCCCTAAATATTCAGCAGTAATGAGCATACCAGACTTATCACCCTTAAGTGCATGCATGTGTTCCCATCCTTAAACATCACAGCTAACAGAGAACTCAAAAAAAAAAAAACAAGAGACAAGCAATTATTATCTATTGTTTTCATGAACACTTAATAAATGCAGCACATTCCGCTTGGCAGAAGTTCGTTATCCACATGCTAATTAAACACACTACTCTGCTCATCTCTGCTTAGCCTGGAGCGGGATGAGCAATTCACACAGCAAATTCGTCCAACAGAGACGGCATGGGCAGCATAGGCGCCGCATTGCATGCAACTAACCAGGAGATGATCAAGTCCATGTGACTGCTCCATGTTTCAATGAAACTGTCAGTTGTCGATTTGTGTCAGATAGTGGTAGAGAAGTGCACATATGTATCACAAGAAGCCGATGGTGTTCAATCTGTCGCAATCTCAGTTGCTGCGTATTTCAGACCCTGTAAAGGTTTGACCACACGTACCCGTCGCAGCGCATCGGCACGTCGATTTTTTACGCAGCTTCGCGCCCTCGTCCAATGGAGAGTGAGGGCGCACTACTTCGCGTAGCTGCATGCTCTCACTCCTCAAAGGTAGAGGATGCGGCACCGTGTCAAGAAAGCAATGCGCTAATGCTCTGCAATGGGTGCATCTTGGTCAAGCCATAATAGTTTCAAAATTCTCCTTGGCGTCGCCACTGTGCACTATAAAACAATCGTGTGAGAGTGCCAGCCTAGTATCTTGTCTGCATTTTGGCGAAAAGGAAGAAACTACATACTTTCTTGTGGGCACTTTGGACAACATTTGCTGCGGTGGTGTATTTCTTTGTTGGTAGCAAAAGTGCACGTCAGGAGATGCATATATGTACTTGTAAAGGCACACTGCCGTTCAGGGCAAGATCATGTCATGTTCGCTGTTGGTACAAATTATTACGGTTTTACTGTATTACTAGATCATTTACAGTTACTCATGTTGAAGCCAGTACTTTAGTGGGGAAACGACGACGATAACAGCTACAAGATAAGCACTAACAGGCCCCATGAATGAACCAAATGGCAACGTGGCTGAACACTGAATATACATGCGGCCGCATACTTTGCGCAGCCAAAGCTCAGTGATGCTTGGTCAATGTTAATAATTGTCTAGATTTAACGGTTTACACTTCTCAATGACAATTATTGTGGAAACTGCCAGTTATGCACAGACTGCCGCAGTAGGTCAAGTATTGGCACAGAATAGCGCAGCACTTCCACCCATGATGGTAGAACATGATCTGTAAGCTGGTGTCATTTATACACAGGCATAATTTGAACAAACAAGACATGCTCACTAGACATTATGAAAAAATGTTTGTCATTAAGTTGCGTCATGGTCTACAACCGCATTAAAATTTTTTTAAGCTATATTTGCTCTTGTGCACAAAACAAAAAAAGCTTTACAACTATCTTATGGAGGAGGGGGAACATAAGCTGGCTCTACCGCGGTGCAAAAATTTTACATGGTGAAGCATATGAAAAATCAGGAGTAACACCCAAAGGCCATGTTTCCCCGCAAGGTCATTAATGTTCCTAGTAGGCAGTCTAACCTTGGTGCAGTAGCGTTGAACGTTGTCCCACCTGAAAGCAAATCCTGCAAATTTCTGTTTCATTTGTGTATTTCAGTGTAATGATGACCCCTATGTTCTACCAAGATGCCAAGATGCCAATCATTTTAAAATCAAGATTTTTTTTCTTCCTAAAGTAAATATTTCAACTTCAATTCTGGGATGCAGGCAGGTACTGAATGCTTGATCACTAACATTATACAATACGCTCACAGTGGTGACATGTCCTCAATTGAAACTCTGCTTATCTGCTTCCTGTAAGACTGGCGATTCCGACCAAATACCATAAGGGCATAACAAAATAACTTTAGAAACACGTATTTCACACAAATAGTGGCTGTCTATTGGCCACTTCAAGTATCATTGGGAGTGTATGACTTAATAAAAAATTTAGCAAAGTTTCTTTTAGATTTTAAACAAATTAAATAAACTTGAATGATGAAATGCACACTATAGAATGGTAAGTGCATTGCACCTCCTGTTTCGAGTCTAGTTCTTTAACACAATTGCAACTGTCCAACATAATTTCCGAGCTATAGAGTACATCGCAATTCATTGCCCTTATTCACACAACACTATTCACTCGACTCCTGCGGGGAAGTTCAAGATGCTTACAAAACTGATGTTGCATGTTGTGCTCTGAATATTGGCAGTCATGCTCTACCATTTTACTCAGCAGCCTTATTTACATAGCCTTGCCATTAGTGCTGTTGTTGTTCACCAAATAAGATCATTTCAAAAGCTCACAGGTCGGTATACCACACTTAAGCAACTAATGTGAAAGCAATACCAGAATCAGCACTCTTTATTTTGTGTTGACATGATTAACAAAATGATTGATTGATATGTGGGGTTTAACGTCCCAAAACCACCATATGATTATGAGAGGCGCCGTAGTGGAGGGCTCCGGAAATTTCGACCATTTGAGGTTCTTTAACGTGCACCCAAACCTGAGCACACGGGCCTACAACATTTCCGCCTCCATCGGAAATGCAGCCTCCGCAGCCGGGATTTAATCCCGCGACCTGCGGGTCAGCAGCCAAGTACCTTAGCCACTAGCCCACCGCGGCGGGGCGTGATTAACAAAAGAGAGTGAGGGTGCCATATCATGCTATCACATTAAATGTGCCAACCAAGCGATTGTAACATGCTGATCAATACTTCAAATATTTTATCCCAGTAAACACATGATGTTTGGAAGATGTCTAAGCCACAGATATTGGCACAAAGGACATTCAAAGGCTAGTAATGCTACTAGAACATCTGATGATGTGGTCCTCTTCACTTTTTCTTTAATAACATCTCTCTTGCTTCATGATTCTCTGTTTTACATGCATTTTTATTTTTAAACATCTCAATCATTGAGATGTTAGCATACAAAAAAATGCTAAAATGAGAAATTCCATATAATGTATCAAACAACAACAACAATGAAAAATAAAGCAGATTCACTCTACAGTAAGTTTTTTTTTTTTTTTTAAAGCTGGGCGACTTTGTGCTGGCTAAGACTACCATTGTTCTAGCAGAAGTGATCAGATCAAGTGATCAGTCAATAAGACACATCATAGGATGACATAGAGCATGATTTCTATTGCACTCCCTTCATTCTACTGTAACTTCTTTATTGAACTGCCCAGCATATCACGTGCAAAAGTTTGCATGCATTAGTGCATGGCTACAATTACTATTTGGTAGCATAGGAAGACTACCGATGGCCTCTCCTACCAGCCTGAGAAACTCATGTGAAAGGATCCCAAGATATATAAATGCATGTTTTAAAAGTTTATAAGAGTAACGAAAAGTGGAATAAAGTGAAGGGGCTGGACAGCTGAAGAGCCTGCCTTTCATTACTCAACTGAAAAGGAAGTCAACAAAACCGCAGGAAAAGTTACTTTTTGCAATCCTAGAGATTTATGTACCCAAACCAAGATCTGATTACGAGGTATATAGTGGTGAGGACCAGTCTTCAATTTTCACGATCTATGGTGCAGTAGGGACCATGGTCTAATTTGCACTACATAAAGTTCTTCAATTTCAACCTAACTATAAGTATATATAAGCTCTTTCTTCTGCCTTTTTGTTGCGACTAAGACAGAACTGGTTAATCAGAGCTTAGAATGGTATTTGTGGTAATGCATGCAATGATACGTGTAGTCTGCTCATAGTGCATAAGCACAGTTGATGACACCAATTGCTGTCAGCATAGTTATTATATAACCAAGAAGTACCATTGACCACATTCTCAAATGATGGCACAATAAGAAAATTGCCATGTAATGAAAACTAAAAAAAAGCAGCACCAGCTTACAATAAAAAATTATGACGGAAACTGCACAAAAAGAAAGTAGAGACCAGAACGGCACACACACAAGAGCAAACTGGCAAATGAAAGTCGATAGGAAGAAACACACATGACAAACATTGCACAAAAAAATACAACGACCGCTAACCATAGGTTGCTGGTTAGTCTATCTCAAGTTCATGCAACATGTCACCTGTCTAACAACATGTCTAGTATACCCGATGGGTGAACAATAAATATGTCACCATATTTATGACCTTTTTTATAGGGTGTGAGAAGGTATTTATATATGGAATTCAGGTGACAGGCATAGGCCTATCAATGGCTACCCTTTTATCAACACCCTTATTTTCTTGCTTTAGCTTCTTCATCAAACTTTCACGAAGAGAGGCCAAATTTAGGATTGTGCAAAAAATATTAGAGACATTTATTTATTCATAAGTATGGTCCATCAGTTATGGTACGTGAACTTGTGATTAGAGCACTGCACGGGCCCGGGCCAGCCAGAAAGCCCGGAACGGGTAAGGAATTGTTGGATCGGGCCAGGGCCAGGCTTGGGCCCATCAGCTTCGGGCCTGGGTCGGGCTTGGGCCTGAGTCGGGCCGGTTCGAGGCTCGGGTCTTATACATATCGGTATAAATGTCATGTTGTTTAGCAGTGTTGTTTTAGAGGGTAGAACATCCTGAAGCGGCCCAGATTATGTGACATGCTGTAGTTGAGGGCCTGAGTCAAACCTGTTTGAGGCCCGGGTCTTATACCTATCAGTATAATGTCACGCTATTTAGCTGTGTAGTTTTAGAGGGTTGAAGATCCTGAAGCAACCCAGATTATGTGAGATGCCGTAGTTTAGGGCTCCGGGTAATTCAGACCAGCTCGAGTGCAGGCATGCGCTGAATTTGGAAAGTACACAAGACGTCTAGCATTTTGTTCCATCAGTATGCTACATTTAACATAAAAAAATTCTCAATACAAGTATTCACCATTATATTGGGTGAAAGATGCTCATGCATAGGGTGCTCAGCTGCTGACCCAAATGTCACGGGTTTGATCCTGGCCGCAGCGGTCGCATTTGGATGGAAAAGAAATGGCAGAGGCCTGTGTACTATGCGATGTCAGCGCACGTTAAAGAACACCAAACGGTCTGAATTTCTGGAACCCTCTACTACGGAGCCTCTCATTATCATATAGTGGTTTTGGACCCCACATATTATTACATTACAATACTACTCATGCATACCATAAGAAAAGTTTTGCACTGCTGCAAGAGCAATTGTGCACTGCCCACATTAGAGTATATAAGATGTGCTCGTTTGCATCTAGGGAAACATTTCGAGTATGTCAATACCCTCGCATGCCTGCTATGCCATTTTACGCCTGCATGACTCCGTAGACTGGTCAACAACACTCGCAAGTCATTAATAGCTGAGGAGCTTCGTGCACTTTTAAGTGCAAAATGCGGAATGACTCTTATCATAGGCGCGCCAATTGATGCAAAGGTTGTCAATTTTTTGTGCTAGCAAGGCAGTTGCAAATATTTATGCATTTGGCGATTAGTTAAAAATGTTTAGCATTTGAGTTGAATGCCCATAATATACAAGTTTTGCCTATTTTTACGGCTACTTTTGTCTTTGTCGTATTTTGCCAGTAATTCAGAAGTGACATAATTTGTCGAAGCGCAAGTGTTCTCGCGGAGCTTAAAAACGTAAAAGTGCTCCCGCGGCAGAAGTTAGAGCTCTAAAGACGTTGATTATTATGATGTTGATTCGCTGCTGTGACCTTTAAAACAGGGAGGTCTATAAACTTGGATGTATTGACACCATTTACCGCATAAATATCCGATGACCCCTGCGACACCCTGAGTTCAGAAATTTTTCATATATTCAGACTTCTTCCCCCAATTTCTGTCGTTCTTGGATATTAACGAGAAAGTAACACTCATCAAAACAGGAGACATGAGCCCTTACTCTAGTAAAAAATTTAACGTACACAAGTTGCACGCGCTTACCGTATTTACTCGCGTAAACCTCGCACTCGCATAATTCTCGCACCCCCCACATCACCCAAGAAAAATACGATTTCTTTTTTTCTCGAGTAATTATCGCACCCCCAAAAACTGCCGCAATAATGTCGTCTGCTCGTTCCAGCCACTGATGATGATAGCGCGCGCCATTTGGCGCCATCTCTTAAGCATCAAGCATACTATTGCACGCAAATTCAATCCAATCCAAGCCAAGCCGAAGAGGCCAGTGCACGTTGCAGTGTGTTTTGTATGCTGTGTCGGTAATCTTGGCACGTTATGGTGTGATACTGAAGCTACACGGCTGCTTCAAGTTGCAAGTGATAGATGACAACGGCACTAAACGACGGCAACAGAGCCGCCGGTAGGCCCTTCGGAGTCTACGAGTTTTGTGATCGCTACTGGTGACGGCAGCTGAAAGTCGCCAAGACACGTTGGGCCTGCCGTGGGCCTAAAACTGAAATTGATGGTAAACTTTATTTCGTCAGAAGGAAACTGCGGACGATTCTGTTAAATAGCCATAAGCCCAATACTGACGTCCTACGCTTACCTTTTGAGGGCTCCTGTTGAGCGACGAACGCTACCATTACGCCCGCAACGCCCACAAGCTTTGCGTATGGTATTCTAATTCTCGACTATTTGCTTGCACTTTTTGTGTCTCAAATAAATATTGCCTTATGTTGAACCTCTGCTTTTATTGTTGAGGTAACTCTTAATTAGTACTTCTCAAAGCTTGCTGTTAGTTGCTGGTATGAGAATCCCGATTTGCGGCCATTTCGGTTTTTTTTTTTTTTTTCGCTCGGTACGTTCTCGTGAAAAGTTCTCCCCGCGTAATTCTCGCACCCCCCAACTTAGCATCGCTTTTTCGGCAAAAAAAGTGCGAGGATTATGCGAGTGAATACGGTAACTTATCTCCTTGGTGTCAGCAGAGGTCCAACTTTCTTGCATCGAATAGTTTTGCAAGCTGCATAGTTGCTTTATTAAGGACCTGTGGGGGCCACATACACTGTTTACCCTATATTTGTTTTCCACTTTATGTTTTCTTTGAAATTCAAAAATTAAATTGTGCAGTTAGCACTGCATACATGAGACTCCAATTGTACTTAATATTGTGCTGCAAATATTTTGTTACGGGCGTAATAAACCGAAATTATACAGCATACCAGTGAAAGTTGTGACCCTGAAAGAAGTTCCAAATAACTCACAAAAAAATATCTTGTGTGCAGCAGCATAACTGTCCGAAATGGACCTGACCCGGGCCTGGTATGGGCCATACTTAAAAACAACAGGCTGGGCTAGGGCGGGCCGGACTGAGCTCGGGCCAGTAAAATCGGTCCGTGCAGTGCCCTACTTGAGATACACTGCCTCACCACCAACCTGTAGGTGTTCATGTGTTGCTTTGTAACATGCTGTTGTTTATTTCAGTGTCTTTCTCCCAATAACCTTTCAGTTGCAAGTTTGTGCCCATTTCTTTTGTACAGTTTCAGTCTTAATGGATTACCAGCGTGCACAGTGCTCAGTTCCTCTTAATGATTGTAAAGAATTCATAGAGACAAAGCCTTGAAGTAACGAAAATTTCTGAAAACAATATCATTTCTTTACTGTTGCACTAGTAACATATGTGTTAAGGAGAAGTAAAATGCCTCAGTTTTGACTGTTCTTAATTACAGCTTCTTTTAACAAAAGACGATCTTACGAGTAGCAGCTCCACTTTGCTACAACCTGCATTTTTCTGAATATACTAAAATTCCTTAACACTTTTTAGATGCTTGCTGCGCAAGCACCCTGCCACAGTTGTCTATACATCAATGTGTTTACTGAGACTATTTCATTCTAATATACAGAGTTGAAAATGTGAAATCAACAACAATTAGGAAATAAAAAACAATATCAAATTGCAACTGCATTGCGACACCTAAATTCTCGGAATATTTTGTAAGCATACAAAGAAAAAGCAAAGAAAGTGGATTCATACTTCCATTCTCGACCACAGACTCCAGAGACGCTAAAAAGCAAAATTGAAATGATAATGAACACTAGTACACAAACCTAGACAAAAGGGGTCACCTAAGCAGCTACGTTATTTTCAATACTAAATGTATCTATAGACGATTTTCCGCAGCGACGCCCGCATGCTGCCATGTTTGATCACAAGACCGTAAACTGGCCTTCTCCCAGCCAGTTGCCCAAGCGAACGCATAGGGTCAGCGAAGCGGCCGTGGCCATGAGCATCCGTGCAAATGCGACCACCCGCTTCGATCCAAACTCGCGCTTGCTACTCGCTCAATGTCATTACAACAATAAATAAATGGTGAAATCAGCCACCACTTTGTGTCATCTCACGCTGGGGACAAGACATAAGGTATGTACTGTCTTTACTAAGGAGATTAGCTGTGTTTATTTAGCGATGCCTGATAAGTCTCTCCGAGAATTAGAGAACAAATCTAGAAAACACTGAAAAATACCGAGGAATACACAGCTCTCGAAGCTTCAGGACGTAAATATAAGGAAATAAATGCATTCGTTGCGAACTTACGGACCACACCCCGCAGGACGAGGACATGATCAGATCGAAACGAAAGGAAACTGCACCCATAGGTGCCGCTATGCTGACTTTCCCTATCGTGGCCGTCTTTCTGCCATGGCCTTCTGGAGCCCTGCTAAACATTCGCGTCGCGTCGTCTGCTCGGCGTCTCTATAGTGTATGCTTCGCTTTTACTCCCGTGCACACAGACGCTACAAGGAAGCCAAGCAGATGACGTGAAGCAGTTGTTCAGCAGTGCTGCAGAAAGCCCTAGACAGAAAGACGACGGTAAGGAGACATCCATGGGAGACGACCTTGGTAAGAAGACGTCTATGGCATTGTAGCCCCACCTACATTTGAATGAGCAAACCAGCTGCAGAAAATAGTCTATAGAGCCAGCATTATACACTTACCCTGGTAGCACAAAATGTTGACATGGCGTTGCGACATTGAGAAAGTAGCTTCAACGTTGTGGCAACATAGCGTGCTACTAGGGTAAAGGCCCACATGGAGATAAGAATTCTAAATTTGTGCAAGTGCATGTCCTTGCGCCCACTGACCAAGCAAGCACCAGGCATCATGCATATTGGCAGATACGTGAAACAGAAGAAACATGTACCTGCTCAATGCCATGTCCCACACCAAATGCTTGCTTTGCCAGAGGACATAAAAATGCAGTAAAGCACAAGCTCACAAACCTTGCAAAATGGCATTACCATTGGTACATGCATTCAGCAGTTCACATGGATCAGGTATAACATGTCTTTAAGCTGTTTTTACATAATCTTTACCCCATTTCAGAAATTTTTTACCGTGTTTACTCCCGTAATTCTCACACTCGCATAATTATCGCACCCGCCACATTGCCCAACAAAAATACGATTCCTTTTTTTCCTTAAGTAATTATCGCACCCTGGAAAATTGTCGCAATAATGTTGTCAGCTTGTTCCAGCCACTGATGATGATAGCGTCCGCCATCTGGTGCCATCTACTCAGCATAGAGCGTACTATTATTGCACCGAGATTCAATCCAATCCAAGCCAAAACCGAAGTGACAAGTGGGCGTTGCGGCGTGTTTTGTACATTGTGTTCGTAATGTTGTTACGTTATGGGGCGATACGGAAGCTACACGGCTGCTTTCAAGTTGAAAGTGATTGATCATGCACTAAACAACGGCAACAGGGCCGCCGGTAGGCCCTTCAGAGTTGACAAGTTTTGTGTTCGCTACTAGTGATGGCAGATGAAAGCCACCAAGACGCGCTGGGCTTTCCGTGTGCCTAAGACTGGGATTCATGGTAAACATTATTTCTTCAGAAGGCAACTGCGGACGATTCTGTTAAATGGCCATCAGCACAATACTGACATTCTACGCTTACCTTTTGAGGGCTCCTGTTGAGCAAAGAACGCTACCCCAACGCCCACAAGCTTTGAGTATGGTATTTTAATTGTCGACTATTTACTTGCACTTTTATTGTCTCAAATAAATCTTGCCTTGTGTTGAACCTGTGCTTTTATTGTTGAAGTAAGTTTTAATTAGTACTTCTCAAAGCTTGCTGTTAGTTGCTGGTGTGAGAATCCCGATTTGCAGACAATTCAATATCTTTTTTGGTCTGTAGAATTCTGTGGGAAGTTTTCCCCGCGTAATTCTCGCACCCCCAACTTTGCATCAGTTTCCGCCAAAAAAAAGTGCCAGGATTATGCGAGTAAATACGGTATTCACTAAATGGCTTCTAAACAATTCGATTCGCAGTGTTTTGGCACTATTTAAATAATTACGAAAATTGGAGTACAATAATTGTTGTATGACAGATCTTGGTAACATCAAACGATAAATATTACTAGTCACTTGAACCAACTGTCATGATTATATCTGCAGAAAACTCTTACCTTTTTCTTTCATTATGACCTTTTCCTTCAAGCTATTCTAAAAAAATGAGAATGTTACGACCTTCACGGAGCATTTTACATTTATGCAAATAATAAGGGTACCAGATTACACAGCAGAAGTGTTGCTTGTGGGCGCTGGTGGGAATAACTGAAGGACGCATCTACTGTGGAGAAGTGAGTCCTCTCAACACGTTATTTATACCAAAATACTTATTTTATTCTAGCATGCCTATTACTGAACCATTTAAAGAAAGGTAGTAGTATTGCTGTAAAATGCTCCCTGGACTGCATTTCAACTTCTAGTGTGATCTTAGCTGTTTTGTACATTTAAAAAAAAGCTTTGTGATTTTCCCTTTGTGAAAGGGTGCAAAAACATCATTGCATTGCCTGCCGTGCATATAGAGTATATATATATGGCAGACAATGCTACCAAATAGCATCATCCACATAGTACAACCTTGTTTAGCCTAATGCTTGCTCTCTCTTTTGCCTCTCAAAGCTCATTTTATATGGCATGTTATGTCAACAATAGAGTCACAGTTCGTGCAACTATCGAAGTGAGCTATTAACATATTGTGTTTTTATCTTAAATTATAAGTAAGGACTCGTACAACTAATTGATTGATATGTGGGGTTTAGCGTCCCAAAACCACTATATGATTATGAGAGACGCCGTAGTGGAGGGCTCCGGAAATTTTGACCACCTGGGGTTCTTTAACGTGCACCCAAATCTGAGCACACGGGCCTACAACATTTCCGCCTCCATCGGAAATGCAGCTGCCGCAGCCGGGATTCGAACCCGCGACCTGCAGGTCAGCAGCCGAGTACCTTAGCCACTAGACCACTGCGGCGGGGCAGGACTCGTACAACTATGCCCCCCAAAGCAAATATTTTAGAAATGAGGAAGTGGTGGATATTAACGTGTCCAACCTGTCCTGCTACCACTCCTTTGTTGCTCTCGTGCAGAGCTGTCAGACATCAACCTTAAATAATTTGCTGAAGAGGCAAAATTTTTTTAAAGGAGTGGTAAGCAGGGCATATCTACTGGCAGCCCCAGCTGAGAGGAACTGTTTAGTTGGAAAAGATGAGTATGGAAAGTAAACATTGTACCCCACATGTTGTGCATTTGTATTGCCCTCTTAAAGATTAGTCAGGTTGTGAATAAACTACATAAAAGCAAGCACATACATTTAAGCGAATTTAACAAATTTCACAGCACATCTCCCAGACGTTTCAGCGCCCCTTCAACGAAGCCAAAATTGGCCTCAGTATCAGCACTTCTCCAGTGCCACGAGAGCAGATAAAAGATACAAGATGAACTAGGCTTTCTTAAATCGCCCAGAATGTTTTCAGTGTGAACAGTGGAGGGCACAGTCCTCGGTTAGACATTTACAGTGAGATACACACATCCTGTTTGTCGGCAAAAAAAAAGTTTGCCTAACAGCAATAGGCTTGCCCTAATTTTCATTAATATGAAAACGAGAAAATGAAGCCAGTAAATTCATGTTATGCCAACTAGCTGACACACTTAAATTACCTGAACTTGGCATGAATTTGACGACTTCCGCAAAGCTTATTTGCAACAAACAAATGAGTATCAAATACTCCTGACCTCTGTCCTCTACACATCAGGAAATAAAATGCATATGCAGCTACATCTGTCTCAGAAATAGTATTAAAAGCATAGCACTCACATTCCTGTGATGGGTGGAATATTTTGTTGTAGTCCTTAACATCTTTGATGCAAGCATTATCTAGCTCAGTCTCCAAAGGAAAAGCATCACCATCCTCCAAAGGCTTCATATGCATCACTCTGCAAGAATGAAAAAAAATTACTAGTATTATATATCTATGCTATATTATATTTAATCTGCTTGATTTTTCTTCTCTCAAGACGAGGAGTATGTGACTGGTTGTTTGGTTGGGGCCAAGTAAAAGCAATGCTGTCATACTGTTTTTTTTTTGTTTTTTTTTAACAATCACCTTTTCACAAGTTAAAATTGATTTGGGTGCTTTGTTGTGAAGGGCTAAAATTGTGGTTTTCAGCAGTTTCTCAAGTCTTGAAGTTTTTGAAGGCTTTCTGTAAGCAACAAAGTTCAGCGCACATCCAGGCTTTTCAGATACAGTTATTTTTGTACCAATATTTTCTTTCAGCATAAGAAAGACATCTTCATAATATGCTACAGTAGTACATACTTCTACACAAGGATGTCAAAACCACTGAAATAAATTTATATATAAGATGGTTGTTCATAATATTGGCATCATAAATTTTGAACAAAACACACAATAGGCCCCAAATGAGTGAATGTCTTTTGTTTTTAAGGAATAAACAAAAAATATGAAAATAGTGCATGGTATAGTATCATGAAACACCACTAGGAAATCAGTAAAAAGCCAGCTCCCGTTAAGAAAGCTGAAGCATGAGCAGAGATTAGCTTTCTCTATTATAAAGGGCACAATTCGCCCACAAGTTACTGCCCACAAATTCTTACAAACAATCACAAGTTCGTGAGCTTGAAGAGATGAAGGAGCTTGTTAGCAAGTTAGAAAAATGCACTCTGCCACATGCTCCAACTGCATACCTGCACAGAGGAAAGCTCTTACACACATCAATTACATATACCAGTGATAACAAATTATTTGTAGGCCAGATTTCATCTCCAAATTAATGAAGAATTTTTGTTTTTCCCGTATCTCCCTCAAAAATCATACTTCAGCCTGTCACGAAAACAATTAACGATAAACTTGCTATGTCAATTTTGTATGATATCTTTTCTTGTCTCCTTACTTTCATTTGTAGGGTACCAGGGTACATATTTTTCTATTTGGTGTTACTTTAAGTGTTACTCCAGAAAACACGAATACTGAAACACAATCGCTGCTTATTCATGAACAAAAATTGTGCTGTTACTATTGCTATTCAGTTAACCTACAGCTGCAATATTGGTGGACAAATGGTTGAAAATTATTGTTTGCTTCATCGTGCAGGGACAAAGCTTTCTACTAAGAACTTACTGAAAGTCAGCTGCATCCTTCTTATCTTTAGAGAAGCTTCTCCGGGTGTGAGAACTGAAAGCAATAAGGCATGCATGTATATCATTTTTGCAACTTCTTGAATATCCTAAATGCATGCACACGATTATGTTTGGAACAACACTAACCCACATTTCCATACTGAAACATGTTTCATTGTTCTCTTTTATAAAATGCAAGCAATCCCCGAGTTTTTTCATGCACTTACGTAGAGCATATTTGCTCCTTTTGGTTCTGCAGAAAATTTAAAGAAGCTAACACTGCAAAGCAAAAACTCAATGGGTTTCATTAAAATGATGTAACATATGTTTCCAGAATTTGCTCCAAAAGTGAAGAAACAAAGAGCATTTAAAAGGACACTAAAGTCAAATAACAATTTACGTCAGATTAGAAGCTCAATGTATGACAACATCTAAAATGACAATATTATCAACAACAGTGCTTGGTGTTTTTGGTATGCATCTAAAGCTAAGCAGATAAGTGCTTTCACCCCCACTGAAATCTCAACTGTTGCTGAGAGTCGAGTCCTCATTCTAGAGTTTAGCACTCATAACGAAGAATGGACACTAGAATGGCAGCTAATAAAACAAACCAATTCAGGGAAATTATACCAAGTTCAAACACAAAGAAAGATATCCTCCTTCTTGGTGCCCACTTGTATATACATTCAAGTCGATCACATGCTATTGCACCACCTAGGGTGGCATTTCAACACCTCAAATGCCTTTTTATTCATAGGCCATTTATAGCAGTGTCATTTCATTTCAGTATCGCGCGAAGCTGGCCATATTTATTAGGGTTTATGTCTGACACTCCTCGTTAAATTTACAGCAGTGTCATTGCATTTCAGTATCGCGCGAAGCTGCCCATATACATAGGGTTTATGTACGACACTCCCCATTCATTTTACATGGCATAGCTTTTAAAGTTGCTCGATTGTCTTCACCAGCACATGTACTAAAATGTAGCAGAGAGGGAAAGCTGTAAGCATGCACAACACTATTCACACAACAGAAAGATGAAAGACTTGATGCAATAACGTTAACAATGTAATTAAGTTTTTAGCAGCATATACTACATTCTTATATCACGGTTTTCCTGTACATGATACAGCAGTGAATACAGTAGTGACCACTTCATTGTTGCATGCACTGTTACGTGCTTTCACAAAAGTTCATTACAGATCTGCAAAACTCCACAAAATGAATAGTTGCTCACCCCGATTTGAAAGGGCTTGGGGTAATGTACTGAGGCACAGTAGAGTTATTTGGCATCCCTCCAAATGGTTGAACCCTATTGAGGTCTATCACATATACAGCAACATTTGTTAAAGAAAATGCTCCAGAAATCTGAAAGAAGAAAGAAATCGGGAAGTAATATGTTAGAATTGCAGGACATGAAATTCTGAAATATGTATGAAAAACAAGAACCAGTCATAGCTTTTGCAACAATTGTGATCCAAGGGTACTCCCAGAATATTTAGCTGCAACCAATTTCAATTACTGATGACAAAAGGATCAGCAAGGAAATTATCCGGGAATGCTTATAAAAGCCCAAGTGGTCTTAGGTGTGCTGTCAATTTTACAGCGTGCAACTACAGTTGCAGATACCGCAAGAAATCTAACCACAATGAACTAGACTTCACAAAGTAATGTGCGACCAGCTTCATGACAGCCAATTCACAAATTCAGCAGATATGTAAGGTCAGAAAATATAGAATCCTTTTTTATTTCAAAATAAGATTGTGATTACCATGTCTTTAAAAAAAAAAGCACTATGATTACTCATTCCATAAAATTACTGCCGTTTAAAAGTAACTCCATTCCCTTAACCTACATCATTTTAACAGTAACGCCATTCCCTTAACCTCCGCTATCAGGTTAACCTTAAACTATAACTGTCTAATGTCTTTCTTTGCACTGTTAAGCGAAGATGCGAGCCAAAAAACACTAGTTTTTCTGAAAATTACACAATTTTCGTTTTTATTTGCTTTTACAAGTCAAGTTTCTCTACCTTCACAAAAAAAAAAAAAATGAAGATAGAAACTAAGTTCGAAGTAGGATAAGGTCACTTTTAAAAGGCACGAGGTGGCTACTAAAAACTAAAAAGAGCTCATTGTCTAGAGTCCCCTGGAAATTGTCACCTGGCTGCTTGCTATTGCATTTCGCATGAGGAGTTAATTAAAGCCACATGCTCAAAGTAACCATGATTGCCAAGCACTCATGATGGAAGAAATCAACTTAAAAAGCGTATCTTCTCCGCATAGATGAGCTTTCACTTATGCCTTTAACATGCGTTCTTCTCAAGATTAATTCCTGAGCAACTTCTTGAGTTTGGACATTGCATTTTTAGTACTTCTGATAGCTCAATTGGGATGAAATTTTGCCCACATAGTATTCCTTAACATATGAAGAGTGCAGATATAGGCATCTTGTATAAAATTTTATAGTACCTGTATAATTATTGCGAACTTAAGGTAAGTAATCAGTATGGTTTGACGAGTCCAAGAATTCACATATTGCAGTTTTTCTTGTCTATCAAAATGTCTTATATGCCCTTTTTTAATACTCATTTATACTGTACAGTTAATTCAGAGCAATATGAGCCATTAATGGTTCAAGACCACAAAAGTTTAGAGGGCAGAAAAAGTTTGTCGAAAACAAACTATATACATTGCATTTTGTCATGGCACTAAACAAAAACTGTGCAACTTACTATGAAACTAACTTCATTTTGAAATCATCATAAGAGCCTATATATACAGCCAAAATTTCATTGCCCTAGAATGTAGATTAGCAAAACGTTTTTTTTTTTTTTTCGAATCGCATCTCCTCTAAATAAATTAAATATTTTGGCACGAATCCTTTACAGTAGTATCATTATATCTAACATACCGAGCAAATTATGGCCTTCTAGAAAGCACTAATGAGCTCAAGAATAATGTGAGATTGTGCAAACCAAAATGTTAAGCTCATGCGAACAGTGAATTTTAGGTTCAAAGCGAATTCGAAGCAAATAGTAATTTTGGTCGAATAGTTTTGAATCGAATGCGAATAGCATATATGACATATGAAAAAAAAGTGGGCACATTTATCATGACCTAAATAACCAGCAAAATATTTTTAGTAATTAAAATAGGGCCTCTATGCAAAGGCCTTTTTTTCTTCATTCAAAGGAAGTCAAAACAATGTTGAGTAGTAGCAGGATTCGACTTTCGGTAGGACGCAAGTGATAATCTGTACAATGCGTAACATTTTAAAACTTGTTATATTTAAAGCATATAAGCCGGCATAACAAGGTTCTAAATTTTTAAACAATGAGGAATCGATTTGAGGGTAATATTCTCATTTAAAGGGGCCCTGCAACAATTTTTCAAGCAGCCATAAAATGGATTGACTGATTGCCTCTTAAATTCACTGCCACAAAAAGTTTTGAATCCTCTTACTACGAGCGGAGTTGCAAAGATTTGACACATACTGCAATTGCATTCTCATGTATCGTGCTGACGAAAGTGCTAGAAGCTAAGCAGGGAGTGATGAACTGGGGCAAGAAAACGCATCAAGTGCACCTCGTGACCTTGAGCACTTTTTTTTTTGCTTCGAATGCGTGGTTTTTCAGTGCGATCGTGCACATACATGTGGGCAAGTCGCGGACTTCCGCGGCGACCCGAGTAACGACCGAGCTGCCAAGCTCAAATCAGCCAATGGCAACCAAGTGGCTATGACAAGCGATTTTTGAGCTTGTGATGTCATTTGTCGAGAGAAGAGAGCAATTTTAAGCTGACTGTGAGAATTTATTTTGAATGGCAGGCCCCATGCTGCGCTATGATATTTGAATCTTGTGTTCTCAGTAGCCTTGACTTGAACATCCTGTGAACCAACCCCCAGGTCTGGTCAAATAACATATCCTGGGAAAGCAGATACTGCTACTAACAACACGACCAAAACTTGCAGTCGTGTGTGCCAAAAAGAGTTGCGAAAGCAGAGTTGAGATTTCCTCAAGCGCTTCTCTTTTCATACAGAAGCATGTGCACCCTTCTTCAAGCTGCTGGCATCTGCTGTTTGTTGTTGCAAAGCAGATAGCGTGCTATTGGCGAATACCAGACATGAATTAAGAGCAGCGTTTCGATCAGATGCGCTTCTTGAAATCAGGTGCTACCAATGGCCAGCACCACACTCCATTGTCTGCTAACATTACATACTAGTTCGCCACAATAGCATCCGCAGGAACCACAATGAGCGGGAGCAGTCTCGTTTCATTACACGTGCTGCTCATGGTTGTGACACAAGTTGCCATACCTTCTTTTCCCGCGCCATCTTTCCCCATGTACCATAAAAACCGAAATATACACAATTTTCTTTTCGACTCATGGGTGCCACCATCTTGTACTGATAAGTATTTGTTTTATAGATTTTATATCTTAACATAACTTTATTTTTCCTAAAGACCCCCCCACCAGGGGTATTACATAAGGGCATAAGGGGTGGGTTAACATATAAAAAGTATTTATCGCCAGAAGTCCTTATCTTGGAAAATGTCACAATATAGAATGATTGTGGTCATAAAACATTTAATGTGCCGGCAATGCGATTTTGTGCATGTGAGTTAACCATAGCACTTTTCGTTAATTTGATACGAATACTAAACTGCAACATTATCAGTCCAAGATGGCCATGCTTGAACGCATTTGAAAAAATATAATATATGTAGTTTTTTTTTTTTTTTTTCAAAACAAAAAGCACGATCAAAAGTCGACCCTCGTCTTATACACCAGCAATTGGCAGAAAAAATGTGGAAGAATTTCCCCAGGAGAAAAAACAGAAAACTTTCCCCAGGATGTTATCGTGAGAGTAAACAAAAAAGGTTTCATGAACGAGTCCCTTATGCTTGAGTGGATTCAGCTAGTGTGAAATCGGCAAACCGATGTGCTTTTTCAGTGACCAAGCATGTTGGTGCTCGACTCATTTCGAGGCCACCTCACGGGCAATGTAGAGGGAGCGCTGTCCGATGGCAAGACGGACCTTGTCATGATCCCTGGGGAACTAACAACAATCTACCAGCCACTGGGCACTACGTAGGGCTCAATAAACCCTTCAAAGACAGCGTGCGCAAGCTCCATAACGAGTGGATACTGGGCAACAATCCAAAGACCCCGCTTGCCCCCTACGACGTTCACGGCTCGCGACCGTTTGTGGCTGGGTGTCGTCACCATGGAAATCTTTCGCAGAAGAGATGGTGCGCAAGCTTTTCTGCAAATGCTGCATCGGCAGTGCATTAGATAAAATTGAGGACGATGCACTCTGGGACATAACAAGTGATAAGCAGACGTCGTCAGGCTCAAGTTCGGACAAGTATGAGTGACAGCACTTTGTGGACATCTGGTATTCAACTGCGTGAAATTAATGTCAAAATAAAAAGAAAAGCCACCACAGTGTGTCGTGCATTCATCAATGTAAGGGTGCAATTTTTTCAAACTTATTTTTCGGAGATTGAACGTTGGTGGGTCGACCTATATTCTGGGTAGCTACCCACATGCTTGTCACAATAAAAGAAGATATTTAAAGCGCGGGACAAATCCTGGCAACTTCGCTAGTTGAAGGATTTGGGAGATTTTTGCGACAGTAGATTCGCGAGACAATAAACTGCGATACTTAAGTAATTCGATGATTGCTTGAAAAAATCATACAGGCCCCCTTTAAAATGCTCTGTCAATTCATAAATAATATATTATTAGGCTTTTCTTTTATGTTTTGAACTCTTGGGTGAGCTTGTATTAAAATTCGTAAAAAATTGTTAAAACCTTGCATGTGAGACACAAGTCAACAGTTAAAGAACAGAACAGTGATGTGCGTGTACATCAACATTAAAAGTGGCGTCGACTTTTTTTTTTTTTCAGTAGGAACTTAAAAAAATAATACATTGCAACATCTCAAACAAACTCACAAGCTGGTTTTGAGCGACAGAAATGTCAGCCACTCTATTCCATCCCATGACCAGAGTGTCGCATGTTTTTACAGGCTCCCAGCAGTAAACCTTTAGGAAGTCTTCTGCACCACTAAATAGACAGGCACCGTCAGGATTGAAGAAGACACACCTGCAAAAGAAAGCATAATATACAAATGCTTGCCACTTTTGATTAGAGAAAAAATAAGTTTACAAGAATGCATCAATGCCAGATTCTCCACATTAATTGAAAAGATCCTCAAAACTCTAGGTCTTGAACTCTCATATCAAATATCAAGATGCCATTTTCCAAAGACAGATTGTGAAATAAACCAAAAGATGGTTTGTCCAAATGGGCAAACAGAAGATATTCACCGGCAGATTAGCCAAGTAATAAAATAAAAATGTTTATATGCACAAGTATGTTTGAGAATGACATGTGTTGCGTATGTACCGATTGAAGCAGCTTCCAGTCTAAAAGCCACAGATGAGAGTTGATAGAGAGGTACCTTAAGTAAAGAGAAAAATAATTTTTGTTGTGCTAGCAAATTATCCTTTCACAATACCTGAAGCAAAACTATTGTCGCAAGAACATGCCTAGCAAGTGAGAAAACGTCCAAAAAGAAAATGCAGCTGGTGACACTACCTTAAACTTTCCACACTAACTCGTCATGACATGATAGATTATGACAGCGTCTACTAGGGCCAACATAGTTGTTACTTGGTAAAAATGATGTATATTGTCGTCCGAGAGGGTTAGAAACTTAAACAAAGTTTCAGGAAAATTTGTTGACCCAATAAGGCTAAAATATCAAAACATAATTTCAAATCTCTCACGTCTGGGTGACGTCTACGCAAAGAGGTTTTGACACAAAATTAAAAAACAAACCTTTGACCTTGATTTTCTCCAGCAATAATAAACCTATGATGGTGAAATTAACGATAGTGGAGTGTTCAAAAAAAAATTTATCCAGTTAAATTAGTTCATTGTATCACATAAGCCACCCATAAAGGGATACCGAACAAAAATTATGAACACTGTCGCAATGGAGCGTCACATGAGGTACTGGGAGGAGATGAGTGGTGGGAGAGGGACAGAATGTTTAGGTTCTGCGACATTATCCAATTCTACCAAAAGTCGAAGCGCAGATTTCCACCACCTAGCTCCACATTAGACAGATCTCAGGAGGTTGACTGGAGGTGACTTCAAACTAGAACCTTTCCCAATCCGAAGCACCTAAATCGCATCTACCCCGAACTATACCAAGATGACTCGTGTAAACTATGTAGCATGAGACGCGCCTCCCTAGAGCATATGTTATGGGAATGCACACAGATACAGGACGCCAATGCAGTCTCCCCAGAACAGCTTGGGGCGCGGTGGAGAGCCGCGCTGATCAGCTCAGATCGGACAGATCAAATATGGGCCATCCAGCGAGCACGGGAGGCGGCTGAGAGACAGGGTCTCTCCACCGCCCCTGGTGCGGCTTAGGCCCACGCCTCAATCCGCTGGTTAAATAAAGTTTGCTCACTCACTCACTCGAAACTTCGTAATTCTACTCAAAAGAGGCAACTCTTCTGATAAACAGAGTCAACTTTCCATACTTCATAGCATCTGCCTGTATTTTTGATGGATTGTCAGCGTGCAGCGGCTGCATGCGAGTGGGAGCTGGGACGTCACAATCACTTAGGTGCATGTAGGATGCACAAGTTCCTATCCTCCTCTTCCTTTTCTACAACCCTCCCTTCATCCTTCTTTCCCCCTTCCACAAAAAGAATGATGCTTTGCTTCAGCCGAGAGCATTGTTCGCAACCAGTGCTGTCCATACAGGTTCAAGTAACCATAGGGCGAGATGAGCTGGCATTGTTGGCTTGCTCGTTTTGGGCGAGTGTGACGTCACTAAACGTCACCTCCTGTAGTTCACAGCGCGATTGCTAGATGTGGCAGTTTATGAAAAACGCATTAAATTAATTATTTTTCTGTACTTTTTGCCTCAAATGAAGATGACTATCGATTCCAGCACCCAACCTTTCAATTTGGTTGAAAATTATGGCGAAAAAATTTTGTTCAGTATCCCTTTAAAGAAAGATTGATAGACAAAATTAAAATATGCAATTATCATAGATCTCAAAGACAAATTAGCTGAAAAGTTAATGCACGCCAATCTTTAACACAGTGCACAAAATTAAGCAATACACCTACATACTGAAGTAGTACATATTGCCACGCGTATGTGCCAGTGGTGAGGACAACGAAGCAGCACGAGTGTCCTTGGCCGAGGGCAAAAGACGAAGAAGTCGTTTCAGTCTGTTTCCTGCGATCGATAAATCGTATTTGTTTGAGGCGCTTTGTGTGCTCGTCAATCTCGCGTCGTCACACTGGTGGAAGTGCTGGGTACGTCTTCATGCTTGGCACCCCTTTGCGGACCCGACATTCAAGCCCGGAATCACTACCACCCGTCGACACACCAGTCCACCGTTCCAGCCGCCGTCTGCGAGGCCTAGCTCCCGAGCTCAATCCCTTTCCAGAAACTGCCAGCAATCGCTTGCCTCCTTCAACCACCATAGCCACTGCAGCTACATCGCACATGACACTTCAAAATCCCATGATTCCTGACTGCTTTCATGGCGAGACCTATGAAGATGCACAAGACTGGCTGGACCAGTTCGAACGCTGCGCGAAGTACAACCAGTGGGCCACCCCTGAAGACAAGCTCGCGAATGTGTACTTCTACCTGAAAGACAACGCCCAGACGTGATACATCAACAGGGAAAGAAGCATGGCTACGTGGGACGACTTCCGCAACCAGCTGATTGACACCTTTAGTAGTCTTGACAGAAAGGAGAATGCGCAACGTCTCTTGGAAGCTCGAATTCAAAAACCAAACGAGAGCGTCGCTATGTTCGCCGAGGACATGACCCGTCTTTTCGGCAGGGCGGATCTCGAGATGCCAGAAGACAGGAAGTTGCGGTATCTAATGCGAGGCGTGAAGGAGCCACCGTTTGCTGGGCTTGTGAGAAATCTGCCAACAACAGTAGCTGAGTTCACGAAAGAAGCCACAGCTATTAAACGGGCCCTACAGCAACGGTACCGCCAGCAGAACCCGGTCAACGTTCGAGCGAGTAGCCCTGTTACGACTGCGGCGAGCCTCTGCGACAACGACAGGCCTCTGCAGGAAGTAATCCGGGAGATTTTGAGGGAGGAGCTTCGGCAGCTTGGTTTAATTCCAGCAACTGAACCGACGCCGGCATTATCTTGTCGCTGATGTTGTCCGAGATGAGGTCCGCCAGGCTCTCTCTTCATCCGGCTATAATGATGTGCGACAACATTTTACTTATGCTAATGCAGTCCGACGCCCCGTCGTCGCGCCTTCAGCACAGCAGACTCCAATGACTGGACCACCACCAACCCTGCAAACACAGCCACTGTCAGCACCGACCACTTTCGCAACCTCACCGATTCCTCCGACAAGACGAATGCCGTATAACCAACATGCCCCACAACGTGGCCCAATAGTGAGTCTCCACTTACCTACCAGCGTCGGAAAACCAATTTGTAGCGTACCGCTGACCGTCGACCAGTACGCTTTCATTGTGGCGAAGCTGGGCACATCTACAGAGTTTGCCGTTATCGCGACGCTCAGTACTCGAGATTTCCTCGCCAGCCTGATTACATTGCGTACGACGATCAACGCATGTACAACTACGCCCCTGTGAACACACCGCTGCAGAATCCAGTAATGCCCAGATCACGTTCTCCATCTCCTGCGCGGCCCAGTTCACCTAATCGTCGCAAATTTGCAGACGTCACCAGGGGCAGGACCCCTAGCCTAGCCCGCGACGGGGAAACTAGACGCAGCGACCTCGGGGGGTGGGGTTGCCAATATTCGAAATTCCGAACAGCCCCCATTGCAGACAAATGACAGCTCGAAGCCATCGATACGGAAGAAGACGACAGCAACGACTAATTCGACGAATAAGACAACTGCCGACGTAACCAACGTTATCAGCGCTGACCTCGTCGTTCACATTGACGGCCACTAAGTGACGGCTCTTGTGGACACTGGCTCCCACTTTTCTATAACAAGCCTACAGCTAGCCGAAAGACTAAGGAAGGTGAAAATGCCATGGCAGGGACCCAATATAAGAACTGCAGGAGGTCAGTTGATGACACCGGTTGGAAAGTGCACGGCCCGACTCTTCATTGCTGGTTCCACCTTTGTCGCCACCCTCGTCATTCTCCACGAGTGCTGTAAACAGCTCATATTGGGAATGGATTTCTTGCGCCAGTACGGGGCTGTGATTGACATCCGTGACAGAAGCGTAACGTTCACTGTAAGCTCGGAGACTGCTACAGATAAGGAACACCAGCCACCTCACTTTCGTATTGCCGATGTCTGCCGCCACGAAGTTGTTCTCTCGTATTCGTGCACTGTGACAAATTACAAAATGGTACTGGCATCGCTGAACACATTAAGGAGCTCGCATTCACCAGCGGCATTTCTGTTGCCAGGGCTGTCATCACTGTTATTGACGGATGCCCTGAACTGCTATTGACAAAGTTCAGCAGAGAACGCCGACACATAGTTAAAGGCACGGACGGCTATAGCCTATTTTGACGAACTCTCGCAAACAGAAGATTGTCATTTAGTGGAGGAAGCAGCAGCGTCTACTATCACTACACTGACACCTGTCGACGTTGGTCCAATGTTATCTCCCATTGAGCGAGACCGCCTTCTCACGCTGATCAACAAGTTCCGCGGCTGCTTCTCCTCCACATCAAGAGTTGGTCAAACGGCACTGACGAAACACCGCATCATCACGGATTCCGATGCCAGACCCATTTGGCAAAATCCTTATCGAGTCGCCCCAAAGGAGCTTGAGGCAATTCAAAAACAGGTGAAAACGATTCTAGAAAATGGTGTCATTCGGCCATCTAACAGTCCTTGGGCATCACCTATAGTACTCGTCAAAACGAAGGACGGTAGCTTGTGTTTCTGCGTCGACTACCGTAAGCTTAATCAGATCACAAAGAAGGACGTCTACCCTCTGCCGCGTATTGATGATTCATTGGATAGACTACGAAACGCACGCTACTTTTCGTCTATGGACTTAAAAAGCGGCTACTGGCAAATTGAAGTGGATGAGAGAGATCGTGAGAAGACCGCGTTTGTTACGCCCGACGGACTTTATGAATTTCAGGTTCTTCCTTTCAGTTTGTGTTCGGCGCCAGCAACATTCCAGCGTCTCATGGACACGGTTTTGTCGGGATTTAAGTGGCAAACCTGCTTGGTGTACCTCGACGACGTGATTGTTTTTTCGGCGACTTTCGAGGAACACTTACGAAGGCTCGAAGCAGTTTTTGAAGCAATTCGCTTGGCCGGTCTTACTCTAAAACCAGAAAAGTGCCACTTCGGCTTCCACGAACTTCAATTCCTCGGTCACGTCGTGAGCAGCCAAGGGATCCGACCCGACCCGGATAAAATTGCCGCCGTGGCAAACTTCCCGACGCCATCAGACAAAAAAATCAGTGTGACGTTTTTTAGGACTATGTCCCTATTACCGGCGGTTTATTGCTAATTTTTAGCATATCGTATGGCCATTGACACAGCTTACTCAGGAAGATACCCCCTTCAGATGGGGCGAAGACCAACAGCAGGCATTTCACGAGCTTCGTCAGCGAATGCAAACACCCCCCGTGCTGGCCCACTTCGATGAAGACGCGCCGACAATACTTCATACAGACGCTAGTAATGCGAGTCTTGGAGCAGTGCTCGTACAGTCGAAGGACAACAACGAAAACGTGATCGCCTACGCCAGCAGGACGCTGTCCCGAGCTGAAGCTAATTACACTACGATGGAAAAAGAATGTCTTGCAATGGTATGGGCAGTCCTGAAGTTTTGTCCTTATTTGTACGGCCGCCCATTCACCGTTATCAGCGATCACCACTCTCTCTGTTGGTTAGTCAACTTGAAAGATCCGTCTGGCTGCCTTGCACGATGGAGTCTTCGGCTCCAAGAATTTGACTTCACTGTTGCCTACAAGTCGGGAAAACGACACACCGATGCCGACTGTCTTTCTCGGTCTCCTGCTGAGACGGCATCCCCGGACAACGACGATGACGACACGGCCTTTCTCGGAATTGTGGACACTGCCGCCTTTTCTCAACAGCAGCGTGGCGATGCTGAGCTTCTACCACTTATAGATTACCTACAAGGGCGAGCGAATAGCGTTCCGAAGTTATTTGCGAGAGGGCTGCCGTCGTACTGCTTGCGAATTGACGTTCTTTATAAGAGGAACTTTTCACCCACCGGCAGCAGCTACTTGCTCGTCGTTCCTTCTTCGCTTCGCCGTGACGTGCTGAAAGCCTGTCATGACGAACCTACCCCTGGTCACTTGGGTTACGCAAGAACATTGGCGAGGATAAGGCAGAACTATTACTGGCCAAGACTTGCCGAAGCTGTCAAAACTTACGTGCAGGCATGTCTAGATTGCCAGCGCCGCAAGCCACCATTCATCAAACCAGCTGGCCTGCTGCAGCATGTCCGAGTGCCGGCGACACCGTTTGCACAAATCGGCATGGATTTTCTGGGCCCCTTCCCTAAGTCTGCCACTGGAAACAGGTGGATAATCGTCGCCACGGATTACCTGACCCGATACGCGGAGACAGGCGCTCTGCCACGGGCAACGACAGCTGAAGCGGCGCAATTTTTCATCGAAGCCACCGTCTTAAGACACGGTGCTCCCGCAATAGTCATCACCGACAGAGGTACTGCGCTCATGGCCGAGCTTTTGGACACCATTTTCCGACTAAGTGGTACAGCTCACAGGAAGACAACGGCGTATCATCCCCAGACCAACAGGCTCACCGAACGCCTCAACAAGACCCTGGCTGATATGATAAGCATGTACGTAGATGTAGAGCACAAGAACTGGGACATCATTTTGCCCACGCCACGTTCGCGTACAACACGGCTCGTCAAGAGACCACTCGGAAGACACCCTTTAGTCTCCTTTACGGACGCGAGGTTACAACAACATTAGACGCAATGCTCCCTCATGAAAATGATGGCAATGAGACAGACGCCGAAGAGTTTACCCAGCTAGCAGAAGAAGCCAGACAACTTGCCAGGTTGCGAATCACCAAACAGCAAGACGACGATGCCAAGTATTACAATCTCCGGCACAGACCCGTCATATACAACGTGGACGACAAAGTATGGGTCTGGACACCTGTTCGTAAGCGTGGGCTCTCCGAAAAGCTGTTGCGAAGATACTTCAGACCCTACAAGGTTCTGCGACGCATTAGTGACGTCAACTACGAGGTTGTTGCCGACGGCGTGCAGTGTTCAAAGCGGCGCAGACATTCACCAGAAATTGTCCACGTGCTTCGGATGAAGCCTTACTTTCAGTGACTAACTGTGCAGTTTTGGTTTCGCCTTGCTTCTCAAACGTTTAACATCGGGACGATGTTTTTTTTTAAAGGGGGAATAATGCCGCGCATATGTGCCAGTGGTGAGGACAACGAAGCAGCACGAGTGTCCTTGGCCGAGGGCAAAATACGAAGAAGTCGTTGCAGTCTGTTTCCTGCGATCGATAAATCGTATTTGTTTGAGGTGCTTTGTGTGCTCATCAATCTCGCGTCGTCACAATATGCAATCAAACTTGATTAAGTAAAATCTAACAAATGACAGTATTTTAGGCAAGTGCCACTGGGAGAAACTGTGACCATAGCACTAAAAAGAGAAGATAATCTGGTCAGATGAAGAACTTGTCAAGTCGTGCTAGGTTCCCCGTATAATTATTACTTCTTCAGGAATTGACTTCACTATAACCTCGTTTTTGCTGGAGCTTAAGCTCATAGTTTTCGAACAAGATCACTATAGAATGTTACAGTACCTGACAACACCAGAGTCATTCTCAGTAGATGAGACAAGATTAAAATTCTCCAGGTCCCAGAACTTGACTGTGCTGTCTGAGCTGCCACTCGCCAGGAGAAACTCATTTGGATGGAAATCTACATCATTTACAGGCCCACAATGGTCCCGAAACTCTGACAACATCTTGCCCGCAGGGAGGTCCCAAAGCTGCATAGACAAATTCATAATCAGTGATACAGGTCTAGAAATAAGTTTTTTTTTATAAGTATAAACTCTTCACACTCCTGTCTAAGAATTACAATATTTACCTGCCAAAGAGTAAATAACGATGCAACACATAAATTGCTAAATGTGGCATTTATATTAGAAGTCAAAATGTGGAGGCAAAGGTATTATTGTGTTCGACGAGACTGCCTGCTCTTTCGTGGCCTCACTTATCTATCCAATGAAGCATGCAACTTTGCAACTTCTTAAAAGTGCCACTCACCAGGCCCCCTACCAAATTTTGGTTCGACAGTTGAAGTTGTTGGGTCTTCGATAAGCAACATTTTGTCACAAAAATTTTTTTTAATCGGTTCATCACGAGCGAAGAAAACGGGTTTTTTGAAGCGGCGCGAAACGAGGATGAGAGGAGCCAAACTCGAAACCCTTGCCACACCTCCGCGTAGCCTTCGTAAACCAAATTTCTTCCCCACCCTCTTCAGCATCTGACCATGAGGTGACGTGCGCATGACGTGCCTACACAAGTTCAATCGCCGAGCACGCGAGCAGCGTTGCTTTGTTGAACAGCGCTATTTTGTGGTCTTTTGCCTCTTTCTGCGAGATTGTTTTGAAACGCTGGCTTAGACGCGGTAGAAAAGATGAGCACAAGGAGTGCGTGAACGCGTAGGAGCGTTCCGCGGCAGTCGTCTGCTTGACGCACTGACCATGGGTACACAAACGCATGCGAAACTCGGACACATTAGCCTCGCAGCTCGTTGCAATTCACGGGAGAAAAATAGAAAAAAGATGCTCACATTCTCTTATTACCTCTCATTATTTCTCAAGAGCTTTATTAATGTCTTCAAGCAACAAATTACATAAAATACGCATGCTGTGTTAAATTATTTTCGCCATGTCACGTGCCACTGTTTGCAACGTTAGAGCAGAGTCGTCTCCGTAGAGAACCAACGTCACTGCATTGCCGTGTACGTACGGCCATACATACGCACACGTCATGCCCTCATTCTCTAGGAGCACGCCGCCAGAAGGGAGGGGGAGCAGCGTTCATCTCGAAATTTGACCCATTTCCGTGGCGCGTAACGTTGCAAATTTTGGCAGACGTGATCATGAACACCTCGTCTACGCATTGCGTTTGCCAGCTCAAAATTGTCAAACCTGGTGAGTGGCCCTAAACGCCAACTTTCCAGTTAAACCAAGTTTTGAGTAACTTTAGAAGGTAAAAAAAGAGTTATCTTACACACACACAAAAAATAAGCTGCTGATTCATTGCCAGCTTTGTCATCTTAATCCTCAGCCATTTATGGTAACTAAATGACTTAATGCACTTGAATCTAAACACCCAGGTCAAAAGATGACAGGTTAAGAGTTCTACACACTGCAGATGATAGGACCACAAACACAAACTGGAAAAATTTAATATTCCATAACTAGAGAATGTGCTGCAAAGCACAACTATTTGCTGTCACTCCCTTGTCTTGCCCTCTTATTTCTGGAAGAAGAAAAAAGGGTCACAGACTCAAAGTAAGTTTTCTCCTTTATTCCTAGCAAGCTTTTAAATATAATTAGATATTTGGACATAAGTAAATGGATTTGGCAGTCGTGTATCAAAGCCATAAAATGTCTTCATAAGATGAGTATGTAGGTGTGACAAGATCAGAAAGTGGTTATGCGATAGCAGCATACCTTAACACTGCCATCTTCACTCCCTGATGCAATCCATCGCCCATCAGGACTAAACTTGAGGCTATTCACGCATTTGTTGTGACCCTGCATAGGACAATCAAATGCAAGAGAGAAAAAATGTTAGTGCAGAAGCACGCCTAAATAAAACTCAAAAAAGAATCCACTAAGCAGCCATGTGGTCTTACTATACAGCCATTAAACATCAGTAAAAAATAAACACTGCATATCACCAAGCATTCTACATTAGTTTTATATGAGTAAGTGGACACAATCAGTACAAAGATCAAGCTCGAGTAAATAAACTATGAAATGAGTGATCGCAACATGCATATTTGACTCAATCATTCATCACTAAGCTAGTTTTTATGCCTCTTCAATTCAACACTACTGGGTTCTGCTTCATACTAAGCAGGCAGCACTATGAGGCAACGTAAGCAGTGCAGTTATGATCAGTGACACTCTCTTTGCAACTACGTTTTAGTCACAAATGCACAAACACTTCGTTCCACTTGTTCGGTAGTAATAACTAAAGATCTGTGACACCTTGCATGCACTAATTATGAGTTATCTTGTCTTGCAATGCAGTAGTACACGTTGGAGTAAATTACATGATGCATAACTCAGTGATGTGACCAGTTGAAGCCATTTTGATGCAAACTGGAGTGGCTAAAACCTTGTTTTGGGGCAGCTAATCAGTATTTTGGAGCAGTTGCCTGTCGCAGATTTTCAAGCACACCTTGCTAAGCCACTAAGCACAAGTATAATTAACACATTATTGATTGATATGTGGGGTTTAACGTCCCAAAACCACCATATGATTATGAGAGACGCCGTAGTGGAGGGCTCCAGAAATTTCTACCACCTGGGGTTCTTTAACGTGCACCCAAATCCGAGTACACGGGCGTTTTTTAACACATTATATATATATATATATATATATATATATATATATATATATATATGTGTGTGTGTGTGTGTGTGTGTGTGACGGCAAGTTATCTTTCACCCACTTTTCTTTCTTCATATTTACATTACAATTCGGTCTAATAACTTCCCCTATACTTTCCTTGGCATCTTTTTCTGTTAGATTTCATTATTATAGCGTCAAAATGCGGAAACACGAGCCCTTAAGTATACACTTCTTTCCCTCTCTCCATCCCCTCTCTCTCTCTCTCTCTCTCTCACACACACACACACACACACACGCACGCACACACGCGCACACACGCACGCACGCACACGCGCGCGCGCGCGCACGCACACACACACACACACACACACACACACACACACACACACTGTTTTCATGGCAGCGCTTTCCTGTTTCTTATAAGCGCTCGTTCATCCTACTCCCCCGATGCTGTCATTGCAGGAGTTTCCGAAGTTAATGGCAGACACGCTGTTTGGTGCGTCAGTTTCAGTTTCACCTGCTAAATTAGCCAGACTTCATCCCCCTGCCAATGGCCGCCTACCAGAAATTTCGAAAAGACTGTGGACTTAAATGGCCCATTTAAACTTAAATTGGCCCATTTGATTAGACTGCTTATTTCCACTGGTTGAAAAGTTATTTGTACTAATATTTATAATTTATGCAGTATTATTGTTTTATGCATGTGAAGATGCCTTCTGCCATGGTAATGGGAATGCTGCAAATAGCTCGGGGATGCCTCCTTTCTGTGATTTTTCAAATATAAGACTCATTTCTTCACACGCCCTGTGTGCACACATGCACGTGTGTGTGTTCATACATGATTTTGCAGTGAAAGCGGTTATGAGATCAGAACATGGGTTACGAGCCGTCACCGCGGCTACCGCTGGTGTCTATAAGCACGAAGAAAAAAAAAAACACGGCAAGTAAAAACACCAATGATACAATAGGATTCGAACCCGGGTACGCTGCATGCCAGCCCAGTATTCTACCAGTGAGTAACGCCAGTGCTTGGAACTCTATTCTAAACTGGCCTTAAAAGGACACTAAAGTCAACTATTAAGTCGCCGTTGAATGTTGAAATGGTGGTCCAGAAACCTCGCAGTGTTACTTTTGTGCCAAGCAAGGGCCTATTTTGAAATAAAATCATGTTTCAGTGCTCTGCATCGAGAGCGCACTTCAAATTACCCACCTCAAGAAGCAGACCGACCGGACCAACTCACGTCACTGTTGCCGTGCACGTTGCCTGGCTTTACTGCACTAGTAGCAGCAGACCTAAAGCAGCGAGAGCCACAGCAGCAACAACGGCCATTGATCAATTTCCCGCCATTAACTTCGAGGTTTCAGACGCTTTTGTTTCAGACGCTTTTGTTTCAACTGCGGCCCGCTAGAAGACCCACCTGTCCCGTGTAACCAGGCGAAAATTGAATTTTTGAACCACTCTCACCATTCCCCATAGTAACGTCTGGCGGTTCTTTTTTCCATGAATCAAACAGTAATGAACAAGCGGCATTTTATCGTGTCTCTTGACGCACGGAAGGTTCTTTATTGAGTGCAGTTAGATCGATTACTAGTGATTAATTGTAGGCGGTTCGTCTGATGTCATTGGGATCATTTTGAAAATGTCCTATTGCGGCGCTTGTGTTTTTGTGCATTTACCTTAATTTTTCAGTAAATAGGACACTGGTGTTGATAATATTGTCATTTTAGATGTTATCATACATTGAGCTTTCACTCTGATGTAAATTGTTATTTTACTTTAATGTCCCTTTAAGCAGAGGAAAAGGAATTGCATTAATATGAGTAATAAAGCGTTTTAGAACATCAAAGGAACAGCCAGGCATCACACGATGCGAATCGCTTGACAATTGGGTTGTCCAATGCTTCAGCCAATTAAAAAACTTGTTCTTGATCACCTATTAACTGAGGCGCAAACCCACTTCACATATTCCTTCATCTTCAGCCACTGCATAAAAAAATTGCAGAAAAATTTCCAACAAGTGTGTAGCGGATACCGAGCTTCTCCAAAGAATGACGAAGGATAGCAAAGTGAATGCTGGCCTACTACACAAAATTTATAATTATTTATGGTGCAGTGGATACCCAGCAAGCGTGCTTGCAGCAGTTACCCAACGAGTGTTTAGAAAAGGCGCTGAAAGGCCACTCTTCTAGCTTTCACTGTGACTGTGCTGTGCGTTCCACGCAGGCCTGGTGTTTTTTTTTTTGTTTATCTGTTTGACTACACATGCACGTCATATTGCACACACACAAATCCATATATAATACTTGTAACAAATGTCATGCATAAATTGCATTACATAATAAGGCCTACCTTGTAAGTGTATATACATCCCTTTTTTCTTGTGTCCCAAAGCTGGAAGAGGAAAAGGAGAATTTAAAAAAGCTATTAATGAAAATCCATATTGTAATTTAAAACATATTTAGTCAAACTTCCCATAAATGCCATATATTTTAATGGCATCTTGCATCACTACTGGTAAAAATCAGCGACTACATTGATATGGATTAGCTAGCATTACGGTCCTTTAGAAATCCTGTCAAGACCTACATTACATGAAGACAGAACCGGTACTCATTGAAGTCAATATTCTCTACAGGTTAACAGAAAAAATTAAGGAAGCTACAAAAAAAGGAAAAAAATGCAAACCTGTTCTCAAACTACGTAGGAACCATTCAAGATGTAAAGCAGACTTCTGTGTCATTCCCATTAGCATTACATCATCTCAAACTATTCTGAAACTGTTTTATTTGTTCCACTTCTTGACCCAAATTTTCAGCAATCACTAAGGTCAGATTCTGAGACTGCTGATTTTTGGGCAAGTTGGAAATTCATACTTGGAAAGGTAGTGCCAATGGACACAAACAAAAGGAAGGCGCACTGACACACAGACAAAAGCGCATTCGTCTGCGTGCTAGTGTGCCTTCCTTTCGTCTGTGTCCATTAGGACTACCTTTCGAAGATTCCAAGATATTTATTTGAAATACCTCTATGCCTAGAAAATGGCTAAAGAGTGATTTCACGTCTCACTGGCCTGCAAGTATGTGTACAGGCATTCTTATCAGTTTTCCCCTTCATGTCTTGAAGTGACCCAGAAACGGTTTTGACGATTTCATAAACACATTGAGCTGATAAAGCAAGTCCTAAGAATTGTTTGAAGACCAATTTAAGCTCTCTACATCAACTATGTAATTTATTACATGACGTGAAGCATGTGAATGGTGGCAGACCGCAGCTGATCAGCAAAATGAGTTTTGAACTTCTTGCGCCTTTTACACATAGAAATGCTCCCATACGCGTAGCACTTGCTGACCGGACTCAGTGGATATCCCACGATACACGTCACGGAACCTCCTGTGGGCAGAGAGTCATCTGTTTAGGATATGCACTCCATGTGGATGGGAGCTGAGCAACAAGTGTTTCTCTCAAGGTTTCTTCTTCTCTTAAACACAATAAATTGCCCTAGCTGTATTGTGTACCGCATATCTAGCGATCGGTGGCCTGTAAAGCTGCCACATTTTGCAATGTTTATGAGGCATCCAGCGAGCGGAATCGCTACGATGTGTCTGCCACTGTACCTTGACCACTGAAGACACACCCACATTGCCCGAGTTTATGCTTATCGATGATCATTCTTGAATTCTTTTTGCTTGTTCACATGCCTTTGCAGGTTGACGCCGCACAGGAGTATCATTTAAGACCAGCTGATAGAGTGCCGGCCCCTGTTGGAGCAGATATCAACCACTACACGGTCTTAATCTCGGTTGTTAGACGACGTGCGTGCTGTCGGGCGCACAAGGTTATGGCCTCCGTGATTGCATGCAACATGTAGGCGTGTAATCTCCGAGGGCGTGACTGGGCAAAGCTGGAACCATCGATTGCACAACGCCGAAGAATCCCTATTCAGAGACATGAAAACTCCCCATTTTGGGCATTTTTCCCCGCAGACGTTGACGGAATTCCCAGCAAACTTCCCTGCACAACAGCGCTAATATGTGCCCCCATACATCCACACATATACTATAATTATATACTGGCTACTTTTTAAATCATGACTAGCTCTTTCATGGCCACACAACAAAAGCATGTTTTTAGCGATTCATACCCTGTCAGCACACTGCCCATTTTGGGCTTCAGGCTCAACACCACTAGTGAGCTAGAAATCGCTCCGGGTAAATATCGGAAACAAATCTCTAGGTTTATGCTTCTGTGGTGCATACCTCAGAACCGATCACAGCAGGCGAAGGGGCACTATGACTGCTAATTATCGGTCGTCAGGGGAGAATTTATCCATTCCTGAAAGTCTCTGCAATATCACAGAGATTTTCTTTTTTCCTTTGGCTCAAAATGACAGGTGAAAATTCCCCGAAAAAGATAAAATTTTCTGCACGGAACATCACTACATGAGAGCACTGCAATCGCTGGGATGCCAGTGTTTATGAGTTCAAAAGATAAGGCAGGGGTGAGAAGGAAGATATAGGTAAAATTGTCCGTTAATGTCTTGGTACACAGCGCATCATTAAATTTGTGGTGTGAATAATTTCATGATGCTTTAGTCTAAATACTGACAGAAATTCAAAAAAAGTTTCAGGGTCCCTTAAACTCATGCTGATGGCACATTTTTTTTTACCTGAGACATGATGATGTGATCATGTCAACAGGAGTGCTCTGTCCTGTGCTCCCTTATTTGTCCCGTGTCGTGGCCTTTTACATTTTTCCGATGATAAAGTTGAGCCCTAAAGTGTTAAGCTCCAACAGGGCCATGAGTTACATAAAACATCAGGCATTTGCCACTGTAATGAATGCAGTACTTAGTGCAACAAAAAAAAAAGAATAAAACTTAGCAGGGATGCTGGCTAGCAGTGTAAAAGATTCATTCCCTGTATTAGGTGGAGAAAGTGAAGGCTTATACATACTTTTATAGTAGTATCCATTGACCCTGATGCGACAAATTCTGCATGAGGGTGAAAATCCATGCACCGAACATTTCCCTTGTGACCTGTGAGTGTCCGGACCACTGCAAAGTGTATAAATTATACAGAAAAGAAACAAAACACAGATAAGTAACTTCAATATATCAGCGTTCCAAAACAATAAATTATGTTATATGCCAACTTAGCTGCTGTAATCTACAGCAACTCTTAATTCATCCATATGGAGATTTCAGCTCCCTCCCCCTTCCAGGTTACAAGCTAATAAGCATGCATATTTGTAAGAGAAAACCCATATGTACTATCGTGAGCAATGTGAGCTGAAACACACTAGCACATCCCAAATAGCCTCAAAACCGAGATGGCGTGACACGTGGATGGCACTGCTGAAAGATGAGGGGAAAGGAGAGACGCTCTTCCGCTTACTGTCAGCCCTCCTGTTTCGCTAGAGTGTTGCTGCCAAAGGGCTGCCGAGTGCGTGGCATCGGCTACGAGGAATGGTAACGCAAAAAAAAGAATATAGACAAAAACAAATTTTTAAAAATCACAGCGTATAAATGGAGTGAATGATGATGAATGGGGCGAAGCGTCTGTCTGTCCAGCCATCCGTGTGTCCGTCTGTGCATGCGTCCATGCGTCCGATCGCGTTCGAGAATGCAGATGGCGCGCGGTTAACACGAACGAGACTCGAACCAAAAAAGCCGAGCGTCTTAAACGCGCCCGCTGCTCTGCTTCGTCTATGCCCCACCAACGATCCGCCACGTACAGCGACTATCCAGGAGACTGAGAGAGGCACTCGTTCTCCGCGCACCGAGGCACAGCCTTTGCAGCAGCCAATTGGAGAGTAGCAGTACAGCACCATCTAGGATATCCTCACTCAACTGCAGTTTGTATGCACTTCTTTGGGACAGTGCTGTCTATTATACTGTTCAGGAGATACTGCCTTCTTAATTTTTTTTTTCTCGTCTCTCCTTTCCGTTACGCATGACGCATGACAAGGTAAGACTAAGAGGAGCTTAGCCCCTAAAATAGAACAGGAATATCAATACCTCCAACCAGCATCACCTAGATATAGCACAAGCATGGCCTGTGCATAATGGTAAGGTACGTCACAAGCGATATCTCGGCTGCTACATACCCTGATGGGTCACTGCGTCGAGCTGGGTGCATTGAAGTGAAGTCATATCACTTCTAGCGGTCACTGACAAGCTCCCGCTTTGCAGCAACGATACCACGGCGAGAGTGTCAACAGCTAGCGGAAGTACGGAATCTTTTCCACTTTGTTTCCAACAGCGGCCACTGCAAATCAGCCGAGTAGTGTTCGAGGCTACTTGACACGCGCTCGCGTGTTCGAACTCATACTTCTCATGATAGTACGTGTATTGCGAGTATTAATGTGATCGTTTCTGTTTCTTCCCTAGGCTGTCCTGTACATTCCTTGTTGCACACTGTACTGGACAAGCCACTAGCCACTTTAGGCTATCGGGTCAAATAATCTTCGTATTTTCATTATTCTGTTGATCAAAATAAAGCTCGATCGATTGATTTATTGATGAATTATTGATTGTGATATTGCGGCAAATACATAATATTGCAAAAAAAATTCTCGCATACTAAATGAATGTAGACCTTCTCATGCAAAATTGTTAAGACAAAGCTGAAGTGAATAAAATTGCAAGTTTCTAAATTTGAACAGAATATCCACAATATCTTCAAGAGGCATACTTATACATAAAATTTAAATATGTTTATGGCTTGATCCTCTGTCAAAAATAAAATTGAATATAAACTTTTCAGCTGCATGCACTAAAGTGTGAAATGAACTGCAACTCCACAAGCATAAAATGAAAAAAGAAGTTGCTGCACATGTTGCTGCATACATGTTGAAAGTTTCTAGCACTTTTTCCAGTACATCTACATCTCTTTATGCTTGTGAGTGACATTCGGAGAAACCTATGCCAATTTGCCATATTATGAGTAACATTGACTTGTGCATCTAACTGCCTCATTTCAAGTTGAATTTGGGGAACATTTAAATGTCAGGCTGAGATGCTAGATACTGATATAGTTTTCCTAAAGGCTTCATACATTTCACCCTATAGTCAGGCCACTTGAAACACATAGGCAAACACAAACACACTCTGCCTTTAAAAGAGAACATGAAACCTGGCACTACTATGCCATGGGCGGACCCAGCCACTCATTTTAGGGAGGGGGGGGGGGGTAGCTTCAAGTAACACCGGAGAGGGGGGCGGGGTCCTTACTTTACTAGCACTCATTTGCTCCAGTTGGTGACAGCAGGTGTACAGCAGACCCAGAAGAGAGGGAAGGAGGGCGGTCGACCCCTAACGCCCCCTCCCCCTCTGGATCCACCGCTGAGCTCAGCCCCCCTCCCTTTCTAAATTTTTCAATTTTGCGAGTGATATAACTTACACGCACACATGAAAACATGCATAAAGGGCGGATGAACCGCAGTCTGCAAACCCTTACCCCCTCACCTCGCCCTTTTAGACAAACTTCTGGATACGCCCCTGTGGGACTCCCTGCCAAGACTGACATGACAGCATTCTCAAGTGCAAAATGCGCTCGCGTAAACCGACCGGCACCGCAAGGTCGCTTGAAGTGACCCCAAGTATATCAGCTTTTCTGCCCTCTTTAGTCGTACCGCGCCTGAAACCAAAGCGTGACGGATGAGCGAAGGAACAAACACGACCGGCCGGTTTCCTAGCCCATAAAGGCTGTTCAAAAACGAAAACAAAAATCGGTAAACTGCCCTTACTGCAACCCGGTTTAGTGACGGAGCGCAAGGAGCCGTTACGTACGCTCTCATTTTCTCGGTCACGAGGGTCGGCAAGTTCAAGTGTCGGAGGGCACATAAACAAGACCGTCAACCTTCTAAAGAAGGCACAGCCACGCTTACTCCGAGAGGGCTTAGGAGATTATGCAAACGCTCTAGAAAAGGTAACTTCAGATGGAGATATCACGGTGTTCGCATATATCTATTCGTGTGTGGTGTCTAGGTCGTAAAAAAAAAAAAGCACTCGGCGGGCACTCGCACCGCGCACTCCAAAAATAAAATCAGACCTGAAAATAAAACAAAGAATAAATCAGTTTTTCAATGCAAAAGAGATGAGTGAGAGACGTCAAAAGCATGCGCGCTTAGCCAGCCACACTTCGTCCATTGCTGAAGGCACCGCGAATTTGGGAGCGCACACAAGACACCGACTCTGAAGCAAAGATCACTCATTTTATCCAAGAAATAAATAAACAAAACTTTACATTTATTTCCACTACGATCACCCATTCAGGACGTCGCCAAAAAGGAGCAAAAAAAAAAAAAAAAGCCACGCCTGCGCTAAAGGCACAGCACGGTCACAGCGAAAGCTAGAATAGCGGCTTTTCAGAGCCCTTTCTAAACACTCATTGGGTAACTGCTGCAAGCACACTTGCTTGGTACCCACTAGGACATTAATAATAAACTTTTTGGGTAATTGGCCGGCATTCGCTATGCTAGTTTTCGTCATTCTCCTGAGAAGCGTGATATCCGCTAAACACTTGCATGAATTTTGTGCTAATTGTTCATGCAGTGGCTGACGGCGATGAGGATTTATGGCTGAAGTTAGTATGCGTCACAGTTAACAGGGGAACAATAACAAAGTTTTGTAATGGGTTGGGGCATTGGACAACCCACTCGTTGCGCTATTCGCATTGTGCGATGAGTGGTTGTTCTTTCGGTGTTGGTATGTGGGGTTTAACGTCCCAAAACCACCATATAATATGAGAGACGCCGTAGTGGAGGGCTCCGGAAATTTCGACCACCTGGGGTTCTTTAACGTGCACCCAAATCTGAGCACACGGGCCTAAAACATTTCCACCTCCATCGGAAATGCAGCCGCTGCAGCCGGGATTCGATCCCACTACTTGCGGGTCAGCAGCCGAGTACCTTAGCCACTAGACCACCACGGCGGGGCTGTTCTTTCACTTATTTTTTAGAACGCTTTATAAGTCGTATCAACGCGATTGCTTTCCCGACATAGAGCCTGCCTAAGGCAAGTTTGGCAACAAGTCCCAAGCACCGGAGTAGCTCAGTGGCAGAATACTTGGCTCGTACCCAGCGGACCGGGGTTTGAGCCCCCATTGTGTCATTGGTGCTATTTTGTTTTCTAAAATTCGCGCGATGTGGTTACGGACGGCGGCGGCAGCGGCGGACAACTGCGCGTGACCCGAGTTGTGATCTCATAGCATCATAGCAGCTTTCACTGTAAAAAAAAAAGAACGAACAAAGAATAAAGAAGGTCCTTCACACATGTGCGCCAACCTCAACAACTTTCTTACGACCTCGTTTAAGGAAGTGCGTTCGAGTGCAGTTGTGGATGGTAATTGTTCTTAGTGGTGGATACCAGACAGGCAGCCCCACAGGTAGTACACTGATTGATTGATATGTGGGGTTTAACGTCTCAAAACCACCATATGATTATGAGAGACGCCAAAGTAGAGGGCTCCAAAAATTTCCACCACCTGGGGTTCTTTAACGTACGCCTAAATCTAAGTACACGGGCGTCAAGCATATTCGCCTCCGTCGAAAATGCGGCCGCCGCAGCCGGGTTTGAACCCTGCGCGACTTGCGAGTGAGCCGTCCAGCCCCGTACATCCCACTAGACCACAATCGCGGGCGGACTCGTTATCGTAGACAATGAGGCAACGATACGGGAACTTCTTATGTTTGCACACGTTGCTCTTCGAGACGAAAGAGGCCCGCAATAGGCCAATAAAATGCGAAATGCTCTGGACCCGAGATGCGAATATTAAAATGTTATCGCTTCCACATGTCTTCTCCAATCGCGAAAACCTCTATTGTTGAAGATTTCTGGAAATGCGAAGGCCTTATGATCGGCGCCCGCAGTGACGCCTCATCCGACCAGTCAGATCTGCACATAACGCGAAGGAGAGGGAACTATGCACTAGCACGCGCTTCCAAGTCTTCTTGCCACGAGCTCTATTTCTCCATTACCCGTTGCATCACTTGTGCTATATCGCGAAGGTTCCTGGACGTAGCGCTGTAAATTCTTTATTACGCGGCTGAACT